TGAATTCTCTTTCTCTTCCTCTCTTTCCCATCCTTCTATTCTTCCATCCACTTTCTTCCTCTTTTCTCATTTTAAGAACACGCATATATGAAACTCTCGGCTTCTGTTCCTAAAACGGCTTCATTGCAAAAGCAAACCCCTCGTACACCTTTCTTTTCCTCATTCGAGGACCCTAAAACACTTGAAATTAAAATCATCCTTGGCTCAAGTGCCTTTTCCTTTTGCGTTAAGTTACTGCAAATTATCTTTCGACTTTTGCATTTCTTTTTTGCAATGAATAACAATTTAAATGTTAAAATGTGGAGAAAAAGGAAATTCGTTATTTGACTTTTATATATAGAAATTAACGGTTTTTCTTCTTTGACTATTTTTTAGATTCTTGAAAGAAAAGTAAGAGGTGGAAAAAATTAGAGAAATAAAAACTACAGGAGCTACGGCTCCTGAAGTTTTTATTTCTCTAATTTTTTACGCCGGAGTGGGGGGGTAGTGAGAGGAAGAGAGAAGAACTCGAACTTCTCACTCGCTCTCACTGCCCCCACTCCAGCGCTTACTCGACGAAGAGCGCAAGCGTCGAAGTGGGGATAATGCGACTAGAGTCTCCTATTTTTCTCTTTCAAGTACCTTACACAATGTTTACATATACCATTTACAAAAATTCTATCCTACATTCTGAATTCAAAATTCCACTTTAGCGTGAAATATCACGCTAAGTAAAATTAATTATAAAATTCCACAATACGAAATGTAAAACGAAACTGTTTGACAGATTTCCTTCGAAGAAAAGGTGTAACAGATGCGGTATTTTTTTCTCAAAAACTCGACTCTTGAGAATAGTTTCACTTTTCAAACCCATCACTTACGTATACACTATTTTTCTATAATATAAATGCTTCTCTCTAAAAATCGTCGATTCGCTAATTTATTTCTTCTCGTTTTGTCACTGAAAAAGAAGACTGATCTCTTGAAGTGACGACAAAAGATTTTCTTGTCCCGAAAACTTTCTAGAATGATTTCGAGGACGATTATTGAGGGATTCGACACGGACTTCATTCCTTTAGAATGACCTGAATCATCTGATTCTTTATATTTCTCCGTGTCTTTTGAATGGATCAATGAACGAGGTCTACTCGAGTTTCTTTCATGAAGAAAAACACGTGAAGAAAACGGGGCCTTTAGAAGAAAATATAGAAACTAATAAAAATTCTGTAATGGTTGAGACACGCACATGTAAAGAAGAATTTTTTTTTATTCTTGAAGGACATAACCATGGGGATGCAGATTCACTCACTAGTTTTCGCGTCGACGACGACGACGAGACGCTCCAGATTACTTTCGTCGACTTTCGGTTTTTATTTTTTGTTTTTTGCCTGTCACTTTATTTTTCTCCTTTACTCTACTTTATGGAGTTTCGGTCACGGCTAGTTACCGTTCGCGCTTCACATTGAAACAGACCAGTCGTATAGTAAAAAACATTTAGAAAAATGCCGCTCTCATAAAACATGTAACTTAATTAACATTCGGCATGGTAGTTGTTCTCTCTCGCTCTTTTTTTGTCATTTAAAAAAGTAACTTTATAAAATATTTTTAAAATCTTTTTAAATCAAAATAATTCATAGCTTTCAGATGATTCATTCACTAAAAATTCAATTTAGAAACAAATACCTTAGATAAATCTGTTTATTTTCGCGCAATTGTATAATGCTCGCGAATGGCTAAAGATTAAATAATTAATTTAATTAAATAAACTAATGTAAAATTGAAAGCGTCAGATGAGTATTTTTATTTTTAAACCACCTGGGGAAAATGTACGGCACATTTAACGAAAAATACCAAGCGAATCAGTTAAGAAAACTTACAAGTAACGTGCGTGTACTTGAATAAACGCCTTTGAAGCCTTACAAGAAACAAAAAGACAACGAATAAATTAAAAGCGTAACTCAAATAGTTTATCTAAAATTTCTAGAAGTATAAAAATGGCAAAATTACACACGTCCCTCATTCTCTCTTCCATTTAACATAATTTTATTCGTAATCTACAAAAATTATATAATATAAAAAAGCTTTGGTTGGAACAGCGATAAGTTTTTCTAGAATAGCAAATATCTTAGCTGCAGAAGCTAAAAATTTCGCTAATATGGTTAAAATGTAGCAGTAATTTGTAGCTCTAATATATTTATTTCTTCAAATTATTTCAACATTTTGGAAATTAGTTTTCGATTAAAACTAACATTTCACCGAGATTAAAGGAGATTAATTAAACGAAAAGCAGAGAAGACAATTAATTTAACAAAACCCAACTTCTATGCTTTTAAAACTGAAAGGATATATAGTGAAAGGAATTTTTCGACGACTATGTATGTGATTCGTTGGATGGTCCACGCCCACTTTTTCGCGATTTCAATTTAGCCGCTTCATCCGACTGTTTTACTCCGCAGGAAGATTGAGATCTATGACCCTTGCCTACTGGGTATATAGATGGAAATCGTATACTTGAGTTTATCGTGCTGCCTGCAGAGAAAAACGATCTACCTCCACAATTTGATATTCGTTATAATTAAATGAACCATTCATGAATGTCTCTCCTGCCTTTAGTGGAAATGTAATCTTTTGCCGTTATAAAAATTTCTTCCATTCTTCATTTTTATTTTTATTCTCCTTTTTTTCTCTCTCTCTCTCGTTATTTTATTATTATTTCCATATTTATTTTTTTATTACATGTATTTTTACATATATCTTTTATTACATGTATTTCTACACTCATTTTTATGTTATATATTTTTTTTACTATAACTGTACTTTTTAGACGAAAAAAAAAAATTGAATCCGTTTCTGGCAACAAAGTCCATATAGAATGAACAATATATATAAAAGAGGGAAGTTGTGTGAATACTTAAAGCCACCTTATTCACGTTTTCTGGAAAGTTTAACGACATCTAGAAATATGGCTGTCATAACTGTAATTCTTACTCCAGTATCAGCCATATGGCTGACAGTCTTTACGACGAAACTGCCTATATTAGACAAAAATCCACTGGCAGTTGAGGAAAATAGTATAGAAGGGGGGGAGGAGAAAAACAAATTACTTCGTTTTATAGAAAAATGCAGGTACCATGCGCCCAGCGAGAGATTATTGAGTCTGGAAAATTGTTGGAATACCCCAGAGGGAATGAAATCCTCTTAAATATTACAGTGAAATAAAATTCCAAAAGTTCTTTCAGTTTTACATGCGAGAATCATAAAAAAAAAGAAAATAACTGAATCGTCTCGTTTGAAATTTCAAATGGAATAATTAAGCGAAACCTTTTTTTTCTCGAGATGATTAATTTAATTAAAACTTGCTCTCACAATCTATGTTTTTTAATTAAGATGCGTGGAGGGGAAAATATTTCGATAGAAGAAAAACTATAATGAGAATGAAAATTATTTAGAAGAGAAATTTTTTTTACAAACATGAGAATGTAGAATAAAGTTGGATAATATTGAGAGAGAGAGAGAGAGAGAGTGTGGGGTAAAATGTCTGTCAGGGTTTGGGGTATATATGGAGAACGGATATTATCGCCAAACGTTAATTTGGTCGAGGCCAGCCTACCTTCCAATTTTCGAGCCCTTACACGCCCACTTACGAGATTGTCCGTTAATGCTTCGTAACGTTGAAAACGCGCTTTCGACGCCCGCGTCTCTCTATTTCGTACATCACATTCGCAATAAAAAAAACAATCAAAAAAATTACATACAGAGAAACAATCGGACGTGAGATCACAAAATACAAAAAACGAACCTGAGAAGTGAGGGAAGACAATTTACAGTAGAAGAATCGCGAAAATAAAAATAGAACCAGTGAAATTGTTTCGTTTCGAAAATAGAGCGATATGACAGGACCGGGAGTTATTTTACGTCCTGGATGTTATTTTTTTATTTTTTTTTAAAGGGGGGTTATAGAGCGCGTGCACCATGAACGATATAAGAGTGTGAGAGAAACCGGTTATATAGTTATATAGAAAAGGTTCCGAAGAGTACTCCACCTTCTTCGTTTTATAATTCACCCACTCATCGGAGGAATATGGCCGAGAGCCTCGTCCTCTTCCAATATGTGAGAGCCATGCACGCAAAGCCTTGACATCGCTGATGTAAATCGTACTTTGTTCCGAATAGCTAGGCGCGCAGGTACTTTTGTAAAATATGGCTATTAGTCTTTGATAACATTATTCCCACATTCGAGAGCGACCAACACGAACCGCTCGCTCTTTCTTGGCCCTGACATTCATTTTTTCTCTAGTCCAAAGAGAAGAGTTTATCAAATCGACAAAATTGAATTTATAATCAGATTTGCATTCTAAGTCCCCTTTCGAATTGAATTAATTTTTCTTCCATGTATATTGAAAACAAACTAAACATCGAACTGAAGAAATGAGAAATAAAAATTTCACCTTATCAAGAATACCTTAAAAACGCCTTATCATCAATGCTAATAAGCCCTTTTTTGTGCAATAACGATACCGAATATTTATAATTTTATACTGCAAAAAATTTCCACTCCACTAACTTTTATTATTATTAACTTACTACAAAGAATCATTGAATTTATTTTAGCATTTATTAATGAAAAAAAAAATTAATTAATAAAAGTTTGAGACGCCTTTTCCAGAACGAATTTTTAATAACTTGAAGTATATTCTTTTTTTCCTCTCTCTTCTTTTAGAACACTTGTATTATCTATAAATAACGAGGACAATTTCGTATAGCGAGTCATTCGTTTTGGAGTTGCCTAACCGTGAAACTCGCTCTTATACCGTTATTAGACACGAATGACGAGAGATGCAACGATGAAATTCTATTTACATTACTCCACTATATTATTTCATGAGCCAATAGACGCATAAAATATACATATATTGCAATGGAATATATGTGATTAATACTGATTATATATTATTACACATATTATAATAATAACATGATTTCCAGACTTATTAATGATTGTTTATTTTTTCATGTTACAGATTTCGGATAGACAACACAGATCACATAATAGATGTGAACAAAAACAACGCTGCTTTCGAGTACGACCAAGTAAATATAATTTGTCCCGTGTATCAACCAGGGACGTACGATGACGATGCCGAGAAGTACATTATTTATAATGTAAGTCACATTATATAATCTCGATATTATCTCAATACAATCTCAATATGATCCGAATATAACTTCTAGAGAAATAATTCTACCAACAATATATTGTACACGAACCATATAATACAAGTATAAGTCTATTTTTCTCGAGAAAAAAAAGAAACGAAAAATTCAGTGTGAGGAAGAAAAATATTTAATTTCAACTTTCCGCAGGAATATTTGTTTGCGCACTCAGTTGCCTTGCGTAAACAAGAGGATCGCTTTTGCTATTTGTTCAGCTTCTGAAAGCGAGCTAGTGAGGCATCCGTATAAGAATATTTCTCACGTAGTTTTCTCTTCTTTTTTTTTTTTGTCAACCCACCATCTGATGGCAATCGTGCCGAGTCACTTGAAACGCGAAAAAAAAGAGATGAGAATGAAGCAAAACATCAAGTCTCAATTTCAAGTGGTAAACTATTAGTTTCAATGAGGAAAAAAAATCCTATTTAGACAGCTGATCTAGACAAAGTAGACCACACGCGCCTTTATCACTAAATGATGATGATGATGATGATGAATTCCTACTGTTCTTCCAAAAGCCTTTTATATTTAATTAACTCTTTCAACTTTTTTTTAATTCTTAGCTCCTTCAACTTCTTTCTCTCCTATATCTCCCTATTTCGAAAAAAATAATTACCTTTCTAATTTTCTGATCTCATCAAAAGATACTTTTTTTCACTGCATTTAATTTTTTTTCGAAAATAAAAATTAATTTTCGATTTCAATTTTAGTTGATCATAAAATGGGGGAGCTTAATTAGATTCTGTTAATTTTTGAACATCATCACGAATCGTTTTTCAATTGTTTGTTTTTTAAGTGCAGTGTCATTTCTTTTCGTAATTTGTGGTCTATGTTGTACGTTAACAAAAGATTCTTTATTTTGTAATAATAATGAAATAAAAATAATGGAAATAATAAAACAAAACTGATAGTAATGATAATAGGAGTATAGTAGTAATAGTATAGGACTAGTACTAGCATTAGTTGTAGTAGGATTATAAAAGGAGGCGATGAGAATTGAATAGCGAAACTGTTACCAATTGATTTGAAATATTCTTTTTCAGGTGTCGAAGGAGGAGTATGAAACGTGTCGGATAACGAACGCAAGTCCGAGGGTAATAGCAATTTGTGACAAGCCATTCAAGACAATGTATTTCACCATTACCTTCAGGCCGTTTACACCGCAACCCGGGGGCCTCGAGTTTCTTCCTGGCCACGATTATTATTTTATCAGCACCTCCTCCAAGGACGACTTGCATAGGCGCATCGGTGGACGATGCACAACCCACAACATGAAGGTTGTATTCAAGGTCTGCTGCAATAATGACGCAGACACATCATCGTCGGCTACCTCACGCAACAACTGTAAGTTGTCAATCGAAAAAAATTCATCCATAAATCATTCATCGAAAAAAGAATTTAGTCCTACAGATGTTAATTCGTGTTTTTGGTATAGCTTATCTTGATACTACATCTTTCGAAAATACCTGTCTCATACGTATCATGTGTCCTTGCAACATCTATCGATTTCTATAAATATATTTCACACCAGTAGCTCTAAACTTTACCTCATTCTAAATTATCAAATCCGACTAAACACGCAGTACAATAAAGAAAACCGATTCATCAAAATCAAATACATATTTCGAAATTAAATTCCTAAATTTGTTGAATTGATAATTTGGGTCAGTGTACTAAATAGCTCATCGCTAAATAGAAATCAAAGAATTGGGAAATAATAGATCAAATTTCTAGTATCTAAATAAGATTTAAAAAAAACAATTCCTAACTCTTTCTTTTGTTTAATTTTAGCCGTTGCAGTAACGAGCAGCACTGTTTCAAGCAGTAGCTCGACAAGCACAGCAGTTTTGGGTGGTAGTGGAGCGGGATTACTACCACCACCAAGTGTTCACAAAGGAGGAGATCGATTCTATCCCGGAGGCAACATCCATCATCATCATCAGCCAGCCACGGTGTCGCCTACCCTCACCCACATGCCCCCTCCAGTAATCTATCCATCGTATCCCCATCAAGTTCCACAAACACCGATCTACAATGGATCGCCATCCTCATCACCACCTAAGACTTCGATCACTCAAAAGAAGAAGAACAGTACGTATATATACACCCTATCTGATTGTTTTTATCACTACCACAATCTCTAACCGAATAATTCATCTCTTTCTTCACTAAACTTTTTCATTTTTCAAAACTACAAAAACTACAGCATTTTAATTATATACAACCATACATTCACACCTAGAATTTCCTCCTTTGATTACAATCGTTTAAAGGCATTTGTTATATATATTATCGTGCGAAGCTAATCGTGAAACAAAACCGAGAGAGAGATTGCTTTCATAACATTTGAAACAATAGAGTAATTAGGAGAAGAAAAAACATTTAAACGAATCAAGATCAAGAAAATAGAAATCTGTTTTACAATGTGTAAGCGTATGAATTCATTTGAGCTTTAAACTGTGAATACTATAAACACAAGCAGTAATCGGCTTACATTTAAAAACATTGGGCGAAGGGCACGGGTGAAAATTTATGTTCCTCAGTTAGTCTGAATCTACATTTGAACAACAGAGTTTATATAGTATATGTATAATATATGGACTAGGACCCTTTTTCTCGCATAGACCATCTGTTCAAACTAACTCGTTTCCATTTCTGTCCTTGTCGTCACCTAGTAATTTGACTTGAAAATAGCTCGAATTTGATTTGCATTTTACGATAAGCTTCCATGTCAAACAGCCTTAATAAACGTGTACCTTTGCTTTATTAAGGGAGAGAAGAAAAAAAGAAAATTCAGTTTCCGACTAGATAAGCAATTTAGTTTCACATACAATACGATTTTAAAAAATCATTAACTTTTTCAATGCAAAATTTTATGTGCCTGTGGTGTTATGTTTTTCTAATAAAATTCATTTGTTTCGCAGAAGAGTACTCCGATCACCCGAACGAAGTGGTGAAAAACGAAGAGCTCACGTACAACAGTGGGAGCACGAGTATGAGACACGATCGTGTGCAGCGGGTGCTGTACTTGTTATCAGGAACACTTCTGGTCACTCTGCTTTTGCCCAACATGCTACGGTGAAGCGACTGCCGACCGATTTCAAGTGTCAAACCCCTTCTTCTGTGATTATCCTACGTTTAATTAATTTCCGCGAGGAGCGTGTGAATCGAATCGCGGGGACGTCAAGTTGATCGTGTCAACGATCGTTTAAATATATAGCTGAATCGTGTGCGCGCGCCTCCAAAAAAAATTAAAAAGTGGAACCGACGTCGAAAGAGGATGCGTCGAAAATAAAACGAGCAAACAAGCCATATTACAATTAAACGAAGAAATGAAACAAAAAAAAACGAAAAAAAATATTTACTAGGTACTATACCATAGTACGCCCACTAATATCACTACTATAAAAGCGGTAGTCGTATATTGGTTGTCCTTCATTATCATTACGCTAATTCTAGGTATTTATTCAAAAGAAAAAAAAGAAAGAAAAAAATACAAGATCAAGCGTTTTGCGTGCTAAGTATCCTCGAGCGACGACGGAACACGACAAAATATTCAATTTAAATTATAGAGAAGGCTCGAAACCACCACGTCGGCGCATGGCTCTTCCGCAAAAGACTGACAACGACTGAGGCGTGTGTGCATTCCATCCTCGTTCGTATATATTCTTCATGTATCGCCTACGTGTAGTTTTTGAGGCTAAAATCTCGTTGACATTTAATAATATATATTCTCCTTAAGGCCTACCAAAATTTTCTTTACCCCCCAAAAAGAATAATTGTAACCCGTATTTGGAGTAATCGACTTTTTGCACACAAAAAGAATTTATCATTACTAAAAATTTTTCTACAATGTATTATTTTGATAATTCTTTAACGACTCTCCTGTCTCTTTCTCAAAAAATAAGTTCATTTCTTTCAATCCGAAAAGCAAATTGTAAAAACTTTCGTATATTCTTTTTCTGGATAAAGAAAACTTTAATTCTAAATTTTGAGAAGAAAAAAAAGTCGACATCTACCAAGTACATTACAACACAAAAGACTGTAAATGTTAAATTTTTAAATGTAGTGAGAATTTTTGTGTCTAAAATCGAAGGGCCGTGCGCATGACGCGCGACTCGCGACATGATAATTAGCACGCGTGTAAATAAATTTTCCTAACGAATAAAAAAAAGAAAATAATAATGTACAACAGGAACTACTTTGTGAGTTCCTGCCGAAAAAATGAAAGAGAGAAAGAAAGAAACTGAAAAAAAAATCGTGATCGTTTAAGAAGAGTGCATATATAATAGACAAATCTTATTAAAAAAAGAAACAAGAAGGCGAAAAGAAACTGCGAAAAAAGCGTATAACAAAATTCATTGCGCCACACTGTCCACGTGATCGAATCATTGATTCGCTTTTTTTTAGGAACGTTCTGAATTTACGTTCTTTAAAGACAACGGAAAAAATCCGCGACTGTCAATTTCGCAATATTTCTTTTTCTTTTTTTTCCGTTTTGTTTATTTTGTATTTCGAATATATGTATGATGAAAAGAGTGCTTGAAAAAAAGATGAAAATTATTGTGTGTACGTATGAATGTTTGTGTGTGAGAGAGAAGAAACGAAAAAAAAACGAGACAATTTGTATTATAGTTGTAATATACTGAACTATATCTATAGATCTGTATTATATTTATTATCTATTATTATTGTAATGCGAATATTCACTCGATATTCTATAATTATTAGTAAAATATCAAATTTAATAGCGAATTATTACAATACGACGAAATGGACGTAGCGTCGACGTCCTCGAGTCGTTTTGTTCAATTTTTTTTCCTCACATATTTTACAAAAGAAAAACAAAACCAACGAGGCATTTACCGATACGTTACATTTGCGAATTGGCCCTTTTGTTATTTTCTGTCTTTCTGTTACTTATTTATTATAAAATCAAAGCGACATTGCATTCACACTTTCATTGCATGTACATTGTTTTTGCATTAAAAAAAAAGCGAAGAAAAACTCGGATTAAAAATGTCACGAAAAGAAACTATTTTTTTAAAACCGACCTGATCAAATTTTTAAAAAAATGGACTTAATTCTGTTAATTAAAAAGGAAAATCGTGAATGCATCCGATAAATTATAATTTGACGAAACGAAATTTTTATAAAATTGTCGAGACGAAGAAAAAAGAAATGAAAGAAGAATCGATGCGTTTATATGGAGCAAATTAATTGTAAATACGAAATGTGTACCCGAAGCTCCGGACTGTAGATGAATCCCCTGCACATTAAAAAAAAAGAAATGTTTTTCCATAGTCAATCATCAGTTTTCAATGTTCATGCACTCATCTATCTCCGCGTCACAGTTTGCAAAAACAAAAGAAAAACACAATAATCATAAATTGATTTTTCTAAGACAATGTTCAACGAATTATGACAAGAAAAATGAAAGAATCGTATTATCCGCAGTATTGTAAGTCTAAGTATTGCCTGCGCTTCTCGCTATTTAATAAATTGTCTTATTTGTCAGTTTTCTTTACAAAAAAAAAAATAGTGGACCTGCCATATTGTAAACAAAATTTCATCGATTAATATAAATCATCGTAAACTTTCTCAATTCCCACAACGTCTTCTAGTCATGTATTTTGTAAAGAGAATAAAATAATTTATGATACGATTTTGCATAATATTTGCCATTGAATAGTGTGTCAAATAATTGCAAATACAACTAAGAAACAATATCAATCTAGAGGGAAAGGGAGAAAGAGCGACAGAAAGCTGAAAATTATTTCGGTATCCGGATACGCGGATATTTGTATAATACGAAAATTGAATTTTTATTTTCTCTGTTGCAAATATTTTACATCAATCAATTTTTAGTTTTTCTTCTTTCAAAAGATTCAACGTGAATTACTAAATTAATAGTAAATAAAACAAAAATTCTCTTCAGAGGAAATTGGAAATTCGTTTGCTAAAACTTCATCACTAAATTTACAACTAATTGAAAAGTAAAAAAATAGAAATTGATTCTTTTGCGTAAAAGTTTTGTTTGAAAAAAGGAAGAAAAATTGATACCAATTTGCGACAAGAAACTAAAAATGCAATTTTCGGAAAACATAACGAAGATTGTAATTTATATTAAAGCCTTACTCTCCAAACTGACTTACTTTTTCCGGGAATATGAGAATAGTTTATGGGATTTAGAATTAATTTTGCAATAACTAATTCCACGTGTAAAGAGAATATAATTTTTGTCAATAACCACGGAAAGAAAAAAGGAAATCTTGTTAAAAGTAAAACTACGTTTTTAGAATTAAAAAAGAGCAAACACATAATTTTTTTTAGCGACAACGCAGCAGAGGTACATAGAAGCAAAAGTGTGTGAATGGTGTTCATTCATAACGAACACTATAGGCAAATACAGTATAAACAATAATTTAGGCTCGAATTATTGATAGAAAATAGACAAGGTCATTTCACTGCATTTTTATTTTTTATTTTACTTCCAATTCTCATTCCGACGAGGCGTGGTTCATGCTTTTGTAACAATTTTTTTTTCTCTCCACAGTCTCGATTAATTAACCCAAAAATTCCTAATCACACTCGCAAGTAATCGTTGTGTATTAAATTTGATATTTCTCTCTCTACTAATAAAAAAAATATTGCTTGCGATTGTGCATTACGTACGCTCATTATTGTAAATATTTCCGGGTTTCAACAACAACAAAAAAACGGTCAATAAACTATTATTTTTAAATACAAAAAAAGTATTCCACGTCTCGACCTAAATCCCTAAAACCAAATCCTTATTTTTTTTTTCTGCTAATTTATTTCAAAACATCAAATTTTCTTTCCTGCGACAACGTTGGATAACAATCGCGGCGGCATTTAAAAAAAGGTCAATGCGCAAATCAATTTATATAATTAGAAAACAAGAAAGCAGAGGATTCGTAGATGATTTGTACATAAAAAAAACGATAAGTCGAAAAAGAAGAAAAACAACAACAACACGATATTAAATACATAATAGGTACGAGATAGGTTTCTAATAACGATTTATTATTAAAGAAAAAAAAGTGAATGTACGTTGATGTCTAAGATTTTTAAAAAATGGAACACACAAAGTGATTAATTATTAAACTATGATTATTATTCGTAAACAATACAATTGTACTAAGTAAAATGAGAACGTCGAGTACAGCCACACTTAGCCAGGTCAATGAATTCTCTCACGTTGAAATAATATTATTTTATAACCGGTATTCACACCACATTCGTGTTTATGATCATGGATTATGCGCGGCCAGCACTCATTTTCCCAATTTAAAATATGACAACAATTTCGTTTTTGGTAATGATTATTTGTTTTTCTCTCTATGTGTGTGTGTTTATATAAAGTCGGTCATAAATATTAAATTTTTTTGCTTAATAAATAATATTCATTTGGTAAATGGCCATTTTTCAGATTTAATATCAAACGGGAAATGATTTTCGTATAAAAAAATAGTCTACTACCACTTAGTATGTCTTTTTATAAACAACTCTAATAATTATTATTAATAATTTATCTGTCACACTGAAAAAAGAATTTGATTTAAATAACCATTCAAATTCAAATAAATAATTATCTATATTATCAAATATTTACTTAAATCAAATTAGTATTATTCAAAACAAATAATTTTTACATAAATTAAATTATATTTGAATTAATAATTTTTGCATTTAAAGCAAAAACAGTTTAATTATAATAAAAATTATTTGAATGCAAATAAATTTAAAAATATTTAGTTGATGACAATTATTTTTAAATCAAGTAAATTTTTTTACAGTACACTAACGGATTTAAAATTCATAATTTTTCTATTTGATAAATAGAATAAATTAATTACTTTTAATTCTCTTTATAATTATTAAAAATAGTAATTTTTAAATTAAAAAAATATATATTTTATTCGAATTTCAAAAAAATCTTTAAAAAATTTTACTCAAATTCAAAGAATTACTTTAAAAAGGTTTTATTTAAAAAACTAATTTTTACATCCAGAGAAAAAATTTTTTTTTTAAATTTATTTGATACAGATCAATTTTATTTAGTACAAATAGAAAATTAACTTCCTACGAAAAAATTTATCTGTAATAAAAAATTTTATCTGTGACAAATAAAATTGTTATTTACATCAAAAAAATGTAATAGGCTGTCTAATAAATATAAATTTATTTAATACAAATATAATATATTTGGATTAAATAAAACATTTTTCTGAGTGTAAATATTTTACTCAAGAATTCAAAAATTATTTTTTAAACACTTTTCTTTAAATTAAATTCAAAGAGATATTTTATTCAAATTTTCAAAAATAATTAAAAAATTTAATTACATATTTAATAGTTTAATATTAAATAAATATTTCTTTAATATTAAAGAAAGAAATATTTTATTTAACATTTTTATTAAATCACGAATTCTTTAAAAGAAAATTTAAAAAAATTTTCATTTTCATTTTTAAAATAATGCAATATTGCAAAAAGTATTTAATAAAGTAAACGATTACTTGTCTATTATTAAATAGAAAATTTGTTTCTATGAAATAATTTTTATTACAGTCACTAAAATGATATTTACTACAAATACTGAAATTATTGTTTCAAATACAATTTAATTGATTTAAATAAATAATTAGTCGATTCAAGTAAATATTTATTTGATAATAGCCAAGTAATCGGTTATTTGAATCAAATAAATTTTTTTTCAGAGTAACAAAAACAGTAATTTTAAATGTTTTGTAACTAAATATTAGAAAAAACAATTTAAAATTTTTTTGCTAATTTATTTCCTATTCTGCGTTATTTTACAATTTAAAAAGTTAATTTCAACGAAAATAGAATTTTAAGAAAAAATTTGCTTTAAAAATGAATTTAAAAAAGTAAACAAAAAATTACTGCAGCAGCTATAAATTGATAATTTTGTTCATAAAGTTTCTTATCGTTCCATGTAAATTACATTAATCTCTTTTGATTTTTCAAACTCGTCAAATATTTCCTTAGAAGTTTCATAAAATTTCAATTTTCCATAAAATTAGTTTTTAATTAATGCCTCCCAGTTTATTAAAACCCTAGAGCGTAAAAGCAAAATTTGATTAGTCTCTTGCAAAACAGAACCAAAAGTTTGAAAATATTTTCTGAAATTCGAGTACCTAGAGTGTAAAATTTTTAACTTTTAGAACGCGATTTTAATTACTTAATCCATGAAAAAAAAAAAAAATGTCATTTTGTAAATTTTTAAAAGTTTACAAAATGATTTTATACATTTTTTATTTTCTATTTTCAATTTTTTTTTTATTTATTTCTAAATCAATTTTATAATTTAGTCCTAAACAACTTGTAAATTATTCAAATTTATTCCACAATTTTTCAATTTTAATTTTTATTAAAACTTGGTCAAAAGGCAAAAAAAATTGTTTTTTATTCGAAAATGTAATTATTTTGAAACAAGATCATTTTTCTGGGTTAGTGAACTTCCACTCTGCTTACAACTTATAATATGTATGAGTGTGTTTTGTGGAAATGATTCATTTGCCTTAATAAGTTCATGGACTTGATGTGCAATTTTTTTCAAGTAAACTTTACAAATACAGAAGGAGATTTTCTGGGTTTAATACATTCGTAGAATCTCCGGAGAGGGAGAGAGAGAGAGAGAGAAAAAAAAAGAGAGCCGGCTGTGTGTAATTCCATAAACACGGACTTCATTAGAGTTTGCGTGTGCCCACGTAAGCACAATACATACAATTAAATTATGCCGTTCATTCAATACATACAAATGCAAAGTAGCGTAGAGTTCATAAAGGTAGTCCATTGTAGCGAAATAGCTTTAAACGAGAAAAAAAAACAGGAAAAAAAACACATAATCAACAAAAAAAATACCATAAAATAAATAAATTTTTGCCGATAATCTTATAAACACATAATATGTTAATTAATTATTCTCAAGCAGACAGGCAGACAGACGTACTTCTCATGGTACACTATTCTTTTTTTACCCCCCTTTTTCGTCCAATTATAGAAAAAATTCAATTTTTCACAAATTAAGTATCATTTTTTCGTAATTTAATAATAAGAGCACAATATATATATGTGTATTTTTCAGGGAATTAATAAGAAAAATTCTTTTTCATTTTGTTTTGAAATTTGAAAAATCACCGACGTTACACACAAAAACATTGTAGGTATATATTGTACATGTATATCGATATAATAATTATATCGATAGAAACGAAAGTAAAAAGCCGGATATATTAAATGGTACATTATGATTTTAAATAAAGTACCTTAAATAAATCGTCTTTGTAAGTACAAAAGAATTTTTCAAGAAGTGAAAAAAAATCGCCAGTTTATTTTTAAGTCGACAAAAAATTACAGTCATTTTTTCACCGCAGTAAAAAATATTAATTTCATGCTGTCGCTCTTAAAATAACATTTTTTCTATACAATTCGAACACCAAATTAGTTAAATTATTCTATTTAAATTTTTAAAATAATATAGAATAAAAAAAATTGAATTTAGTAACAAAATAATCTTTAATTAATATTCAATTTTATCATTAATATTTAATTGTTTAATTAATATTTAATTATTAATTAAACATCACTCAAATAATTGAAATTCAAAAATTTAATTAAGATTCAATTAGTTAATTAATATATAATATTGATTAACATTAAATTGAGCAGTATTCGAGTAATTAAATTACACAATAAATCATTAAATGAAATGCAAATGTGAATTTACTACTTTTGTACTCACAAAGAGAACATTTCGTAACGAAAAGAAAAAAAACGCGTGAATTTAAAAAAAATGCGGTTTTGAAAAAAAAAATTATCGATATTTGTAATTCCTAAAGAGTGAACATTGTAAAAAGAGACATCCGACTTTGTAAAATTTTCTTTTTAATAAAATTTGAAAATATTTTATGACAAGAAGACAAATTTATTGTGTATTGAAAATAAATTTCAATATTTTCATCAACAACTAAAAAATTATCCCTTGGCCTAAAAAAAATCTCTTTTTGATAATAATAATAGATAGATCTAGTAGTATAGATATTATTTTGTTTTTCATATAAAAATTTTCCTCAAAAAATATATTTACAAAGTAAAACACAAATCTCGGAGGTGCTATTCAGAATTTTAGTATATTTTTGCGAATTTAAAAATAATAGAAATTTTTTTTCTTTTGATATAATTATTTAATTTTTAATATTTTCATTTAAAAATTTAATTTCTTAGACGTTAAATAGTTTTTATATTTGTTGTATATTTCAAAATAAAAACATTTTTAACAGTCAATTCAAGAGCGACACCATGAGAAGCGGAAAGATTGTTAAAAAAAAAACCTGTCAATTTAATTAATTACTACTTTTAAGCGAAACAATCGTTTCTCAGTATAAACTTTTGTGCCATTCAGTAAAGAATTCTTTTTTTCATTTTTAACTACATTATAATATATCATTTTCAGTAATAGAGGTGCAATTTTCTTTTAAACTCTTAATCGAAAACAACGTCCAAATGACATAATAAATAAATTGTAATCTAATTATAATTATTACATAATTCCAAATTTCAATAAAATTTTTCCTTTTACTAATAATTTCTTCAGAGTTATATTTCAAAAAAAGTAATTTTTTATTTCGATAACAAGACGGAGTTTAATCGAAGAATAAAACTCATTTTAAGAGTTTTATTCCAATAATCGTTTCTCAAAGAAAAAATATACCAAAGTGAAGAAGAAGTTGGTTATATAGAATTAAAGAAAAAAAAGGCCTACACTTGTTTAAAAAAAAACACAAAAGCACCGAGTAGCATAATATAATCTTCATTCATTCTTGTAATAATTGTTAAAATGACTAAAAAAAAAAAATTTGAAAAATAAAATCATTTGGTGGTAAAAAAATACATATGCAGCGAGTTTTAAAGGTCCATGCGAAAATAAAGACGCGTGTTATATATAAAAATATATATACAGAAATTATACCTGCGCGGTAAATCGTTGTCAATAAAATATACATAGACGAATTAATAAAATCCCATCACACATTATATTTACGATAAAAGCGGATGATTATCGTAAATAATGTAATTATTCGTTTTATTATATTATAAATATAAATCAATGAAGCGAATCAGAATGCGTTTAAATTTCTGTTTCGTTTTTTTTCAGCGGAATAAAAAAAAACAAAAGAATAATAAAAAAAGATAAAATAAGCACACGTGCTTTGCGTGGCGCTATTGTTGTTATACGAACCAACTCAAGACAGAAATGGTATACAAGATTAAGAACAAGAACTTAAACAAAAAAAAAAAAAAAATGAAAAAATGAAAAAAAAATGGGACATAATATTTTATAACTCAACTTTTGTACAGAATAAATAAATACTTGTACTGTGGACCAATATTTCTTTCATTTCATTTTACCCTTCAAATTAATCATTAAAACTGTAAATTAAAATAATTTCATATTAAATTTAAAAAAAGAATTGTGCATTTTATTTGTGTTAAATAATAATTTATTTTTCACTAGAAATCAGTTATAAATCATTATTAATTAAAATTAATAAAAAACTGCCCTACTATCGCTTTTGTGTATATTATAAATTATTTATTTATTTATAAGTTGGCTTACAAAAGTATAAAAATATTTCTGCGAAAACATTTCCGTGGGGAAATGTGTAAATAAATAAATATAAGAAAAATAATAATTATATACATTACTTCATTCTTATACTTTTAATAATAAAAATGTATTATTTTATTTACATTTACAATAATATTTCGTTTTTCATTTCTAAATGATTTTTACAGATTACAGTAAATTTATTGGGGCTTTTTACTATTACTTTTAATTACTTTTTTTAATTGAACCAAAAAATAAAAATATTTTATTACTATATTATTACTATTCAATGATTATTAATATATTACAATTAGGATTTATAATAATTTATTATTTTATAACCTTTATATAAATTATTTTAATTTTATATATTTATATTTTATATTATAATATTGTTAGAATATTAAAAATATTATATTGCGATAAACAATTATAATAATTAAATAATATTAAAGATTATTAAACAATAATTACAATTATTATAATTGTATTATTTAAAATATAAATTATAAGAGTAATAATAATAGTATAGTAATATATTTTGAAAAATTAAGAAATATATTTAAGTACTGAGAATATTTGGTAAAAAAAACTGTTTTAAATAAAATTGTTTATTATAAAAATTCTAATAAAGAAATTTTCTAAAATCTTGTGGAAAATAAATTTTGAATTTTAAACTCGTGAATCAAGTGACCAATGAAATAATAATTCTCAGACATGCGCATTTCGAAAATAACTCAGTGAGTCAAATTCAGTACCGTAAAATGAAACAACGTGGTTTACTGTGATTTAATGTTTTCGTAATTAAAGCAAAATTGAATTCTAAAAGTACTATTCTATTTATTATAAAATATGTCGTTCTTTATAAGAAATAACAAAGAACCAGGAAAACTTAAGAGAAAGGTAATTTATCCAATTTAGTATCATTTACGCCACATGTTTTCGTTTCTTTCATTTTGAGGTTAGGTTAAATATTCTCTAATTTTTTTCTAAATTTACTTAAATTTGGGTAAAAATAATATTTTTTACTATTTTATTCCAATAAAATTGTATAAATAAACTAGTAAAAATAATTATTAATGATAATAATTACAAGAGAAAGAAATATTTATACTTTGTTTATTATGCACGTGAAATTCTTTTTAAAAGTAATATTTATTATTTTAATTTTAGTTTAATGGTAATTCTGAGGGTTCGAAGAAATTTGCATCAAAAGGTAAAAAGCGAAATGTGAAAAACAATAAAGACGATGATGAAAGTATTGCGAGTAGTGACGAAGAATTTGCTGAGCAAAGAAATAAGTGAGTTATAATGATTTACCATTGTTGGATTATTGCTAATTGATTTGGTAATAATTAATAGAGGACTCATTTAATATATTCTATTCTACGTTATTAAATTTGCAAATTTTTTCTAAACAGAGGTTTAGAAGAAGACTATGATGATGATGAGGAAGAAGAAGAGACTGCTCAAGAGAAACGTTTAAGATTGGCAAAGAAATATTTGCAAGAAATTGAAGAGGAAGGTAAAATAGAAAAATAAATATTTAATTCATCTTTATAAGTAATTAATTAATTAATTAATAAAATTAGTTCTTTTAATCCTTTATCATTATTGAATGAGTATGTTTTTTACATTCGAACCTAATTTTTCAGAAAAGGACAGAGAAGATTTTGAAAAAGGTGGCATTGCGAGGCGATTACATGAAGAATATTTAGAAGAAAAAGGAAGATTGAAAAGAACCGTAGCTAGTAATTATACAGGACACGGTGAAACAATTATTTTAAAATGTAAATATCACAGAGAAACAATCACCTGCCTTTGTCTTTCAAGCGATGGAAAATTTCTCTTTTCCGGTTCCAAGGATGGAACAATTGTCAAATGTAAGTATTATAATTTTCTTTTAAAGAAAAAAGAAATTTGAAATTAAAACAAAAATTATTGAAATTTGGAATTTAAAGAATTCTATAAATTTTAATAAATATTTAAAGATTATCGTCCTTAAAGAAAAATCAGCTTTTAATAATTATTCAAGAAATATTTAATTTTTAAGAAGGAATAATGACAATTTAATGTTATTCAGTATTTACTAAAAAATAATTTAATTTTCAGGGTGTTTAGCGGACAAATCTAAAGTCAAAATCCTAAAAGGAAAACGAACGAAAAATGATAATGGAATTAAATGCGTAGAATGTATGGCGATCAGCACGGATTCAAAATTTGTAGTAAGTCTAGTAAAAATCTGAAAAAAATTCAGCTAATTAAACTATCAATTTAATAATTAATTAATAAAGCTATAAATATTGTAAAAGAACTTTGCTTCTAAACTTCTTGTTTTTTAAACCAATATTTTGATTATTAAATTTCCGAAATTGATTAAAAATAGGTAGTTGGAGACAAGGCTACTAAAAATATAACAGTCTTATCGGGAGATGATTTAAGTCATATAAAATATCTCCAAGGACATAGAGGAATGGTTACGGGCTTAGTTTTTCGAAAAAATACACACACCTTGTATTCAGCGTCAAAGGATGCGAGTGTTAAAGTTTGGAATCTGGATGACATGGCCTACGTCGAATCATTGTAATTAATTTTGTTCGTTCTTACACATTTTATTGATCTTACTATCACAATTTTAAAACACTTCAATTTTTCTCCTTTAAAGCAAAACTTGTAATTTAAAAAATTAAATTAATTTAAAAATTTATTGTAGATTTGGTCATGGAAGTGCTATAACTTCAATAGACGCTCTATCGCGTGAACGTGCCGTAACAAGTGGAGGTCTTGACGGAAGTATAAGAATATGGAAAATAGTCGAAGAATCACAATTAATTTTCAATGGACACGGTGGCAGTATTGATACTGTGAAACTTATAAACGAAGAGAATTTCCTAAGCGGAGGTGACGATGGTCAATTGAGCGTGTGGGGTTGTCTAAAGAAGAAACCATTATGTTCATATCCTGAAGCTCATGGAAAAAATCCAGAAAATGGATTACCTAATTGGATTTCAAGTATTGCGACACTTTTAAATACGGATCTAGTAGCATCAGGTAAATTCATACCAAAAAATAGAGAAAAATAAAAAAAAGAACCCCTAAAGACTATCAATTTTCTATTATTTAATTACTTAAAGTTAATGGAATATTATAATTCAAAAATAGCTTCATTTTCAGGTTCCAATAGTGGAGTCATTAGATTGTGGCAATGTGAGGAATCGTTTCGAAAAATCAAACCTCTTTTTGACGTTAAAGTAGAGGGATTTATTAATTCTCTAACATTTACGCCCGACGGCAATTATCTCATAGCTGCCGTTGGTAAAGAGCATAGATTAGGAAGATGGTGGCATTTATCAGAACCGAAAAATGGTATAGTTCTGATTCCATTAAATCAAAAACAAAGTAAATGAAATTTTGTTAGTCTGTCTTAGACATTTCACGTGTAAATTTAATTATTTTTAAGCGATATTTGTATTACGAATGTAAAATAAACATATCTTTTATAAAATACAAAAAAGATTTGAAAATTTTCTTTTTCAATTTTAAATAAAAGAAAATAAAAATTTTAATTTCTATTTTTATCTTTTATAAAATGCAAAAAAGAAGTTTTATAAGTTTTCTTTTTCAGCTTTAAATAAAACAAAATAAAAATTATAATTTCTATTTCGATGGTGAAATTAAAATTATTTTTCGTTAGATATTTCTAGATTAGAAAATGTTAAACAAAAATTGTTGAGTCCCTAAACAAATGTAGAAATTATTATTTAATTTCTACGTAACCTATTTTAATTTAAATAGCTTCAACAAAGTTTTCATAAGTAAATATTTTTTGCAGACTGGAAAAATTGTTTATAAATTTTCCAGATTTTTCATAACCGTAGCGCAATAAATTATTGTAAAACGTTCAATATACAGAATACCCAATAATCAAGTCATCAAAATTATTAAAACAAAAGAAAATGTAAATTCATTACAACAACAAAGTGACGTAAAATAATGACTATAAGAACATCATGCAGAAGGAAAGAATTTTCATCAGTAAAAAGAAGCCAAAATTACTTTTTTTACTTGATTGGTTTTCAATTATTTCTTTTAATTTCAGATTCAAACTTAAAAAAATTCAATTATTAACTAATTTACTAATTAATTATTCTTGTTTATTAATTTCAAAAAATTTAACAAAATTCTTCGCAAGAATTCAATTATTTTCATAAATAATAACATTCTTCGTAAGAATCCAATTATTTTTACAAATAGTAAAATTTTTTGCAATAATAATTAATTATTTCTAAACAAAATTTTAATAAAATTTCACGAACATATACAATTATTTTCTAAAATTTTAATAAATCCTTCGAAACAATTCAATTTTATTTATAAATAGTAAAATTCTTTGCAAAAATTCAATTATTTTCGAAAAAAATTTCACGAAAGAATTCAATTTCTTTCTTAATTCGGTATAAAACTTTTCAAAATAATTCAATTATTTTCTAAAATTTCAATAAAATTCGATAATTGAAATATTTAAATAGAAAAGTTATTTAAAACTTTAAGAAGCAAAAAGCAAACAACTAATTACAAACTGCGAACAGATTACCGGAATACAACGATTTTTAATATAGATAATTTAAAATTATTATCTTCGTTAAAATTATTTTATTTTTTTATTTTCATAAAGTACTAAATGTACTGCTATTTCGAAAATAATGTCAAAGAATAATTAATATTTCTAAAAATCATTTACTACTTTCAAGAAAATAATTAATTACTTATAATAAATTTTGTAAACAAATGGACATTAATATAAATATTGCTTATTTTACACTTTAATAATTGTCAATATTTTGTCACTTTGTTGTTGAAAGAAAATTAAAAATTAATAAACGACTAACCTTTCGTAGAATTTGGAAGTGTCCTGGACCCAATATCTTTTAGTTTTAACCAATAAGTATTCATCATTAATCAATATTTGATTTTTCCATTCCTTATTCATTTATTTCCCGAAAATCTGGATTACTATTATATACTGTTGGTGCAATTCATCATTTATGAATCTGAAACAAATAAAAAAAAAACAATAGTTACTATTTTACTTCAACAAAAACGTCAAATTAATACTTTTGCCATCAAGATTCATTAAATAAATAGAATAAAATTAAAAAATAGAAACGTTTCAAATACATTTCACAATATTTTGCTACAAAAATTTTTCTTTTTATACTTTATTTCAAATTTTTATTAATATTGCTATCGATTAGGTTGAAAGAATTGAATATTATAGTGAAAAATGAGAGAAATATTTAGTGAAAATTAATAATATAAATTGAATTAATAAAATAATTTCAAAATAATTGTAAATAATAATTTTAATTATTGGAATTTGTCAATATTTTATTATTGTGTTTAAATAAAAACCTTTTGGAAGTTCTCAGACTCCAGGGAATCCCTGCACTTTTTTCGAATCTGCGCAATTCCTTAGTCTCGTGAAATCGAAAATACATTTCTGCAGAAATTCTTGTGAATTTGAAACTGAAAAAAATAATAATTATCATTTTCCTGTAACAATCATTCAGTTTTTCAAAAAAATATATTTAAATAATTTAAAAATAATGTTGGAATTTAATGCAATATTGTCATATTTTTGTTTGATTAAATACCTTTTAAAATATCCCGTAGAATGCAGACAAATTCTGCGCATCGTGTTCTCAAATTTGGACAATTTTTTTGTTTTCGGAAATTATAAACGATTTCCTGAAGTTTTACTGTATTTCGTCATTCTTGTGTTCTTGAATCTAAAAAAGTTACAAGAGAATCATGTTTTTACTGTAACAAAAAACAGAACAATAATTATGTCACAAATACCAATTATCCAAAACAAATAAAAATACAAAAATTAACACTGATAACAAATTAATTATATTTTATCCCTACAGTATGTAAAATTACAAAAATATTGCCTAAATATTGTGTTTATTCTTGAAATAATAAAATATTACGGCAAACATTACTGCAAAATTCTGTATTGTTTTGTGGAGTCAATGACCTTGAATTATAACCGGCAAAGACCTGCAACTCCTATATAAATTGAACAATTTATTGTGAATTTAACATAACCTCTAAATTATGCGCGACTGCTAATCACTTAGTATTTGTTTATTCTTATCAAAAATCATTTATCAACTATATTTAATCCTTTAAAGTTTAAGAAAAATTGTTCAATTTCTAGGTTATGTTGATATAAGTCAATCGCGTCAATCGTCTACAAAGTTAAAATGAAAAATGATTATAACAATATTTACCTGCATAGAAATACTTGGAAATCGAACTTTTAACAGATGATCGAAAATTTTTCGAATTTACATAAAAACTACTAAAAATATCAGAAAACTATTGTTCCGTTTCTTCTTTATTATGTTTCTGTCAACGGCGACTTTTAGAAATGGGGGGAAAGCCGGAAATCGCAGCAAAAGTGCGCCAAATCACCCTGATCATGCGCAGTTGCATGAACCAATCAGAATCCACATAAGTACTGCCCTCTATCATTAAACAAAAGAAATATATTTAAAAAAGTTAAATCGATTTTAATAATGAATAAATAACACGTAAAATAGAAAATAAAAATTAACTCTATAAAATAGCAAATAAAGTTGTTAAACATAATTGTAGCAATTTATTATTCTTTCCGCGAATATATTAATCATTTTATGTACAAAATTTGTTTTTATTGTTGATATTTTTGAATTTTAACTTACATACAACTTCACGTCTCTGACAATTGTTGCATTTTCTGCAACTTCCGCTCAAACCTAACCTTAAATACTTTTATGTTCATAAGTTCATAACTACGTTTCATTTTGAAAACTTCGAAAGTGTATATTGTAATTGTTTAACTGTTTTAAAAATAAGAAGCAAAGAATTAAAATTATAGATGACAGAAAAGAAACGAGTGTTAATGGTGTGTTTAGGTAAATTTTTACAATTAGATACAAATTCTAGTATTAATTCATTGAACAACAATGTTTACTTTCTTTTTCCTTTTTACGATTAAATTACAAATTATAACTAATAATCTTTAATTAATAATAGGCAATACCTGTAGATCAACGATCGCTGAAGCTATATTCAAAAATTACGTCGAGAAAATGAATTATTTATGGGAAGTTGACAGTTCTGGTTTAAGAGGTTATCACGTTGGGGAAGGTCCTAATCAAAGAGCACTAAATATTCTAGAAAAGAATGGCATTAAAAATTATCATCACATAGCAAAAGTCGTAAGTAAATTAAAAAAACAAAATGTTTTCTAATTGTTAATAATTCTACAGTTACAGTAGTTTTTAAAATATAATTGTCTTACTTAATATAATGAGTTAAATTAATTCTTTTGCTAATAATAGATAAAAAATCAAGACTTCGATGATTTCGATTGGATATTTGGAATGGATGAATATAATTTATCAAAGTTAATAGAACTAAAACCAAAAAATTGTCGAGCGCAAGTTGAACTCCTGGGAAAATATCATCCAAGTGGAGAAGTTATTATTGAAGATCCTTATTTTGTAAGAAAATACTTTAAATTCAAAATTTGTTTTACAAAATATTTGTAATTAATTAGTAAATTATTTAATTTTACAGGAAAATAATATTACCAGTTTTCAAACAGTTTACGATCAGTGTGTTGCATGTGTTGAAAATTTCTTGAAGCAAGAAAATAGTTCTTAATTCAACAACATATTGAGAAAAATGGATATATTTTTTTAAAAATAATTTTTAAAGAGAAAAAATTAGATAAAATTTCAAAAATTCAAGTTGATAAACTACAAATTATTTTTGATATTTATAAATATTGTGCTGGAAGTTTTAATGATCTGATATAGGTTTATCAATCTACAGAATTTTTTAATTTTGTTTAAATTAAATAATTTATAAATTACGTACATAATATTTATTTTTATAGAAGTGTAATTAGAATTGTAGCCAGGAAAGATTTTATGCAAGAATGAAATATTTCAATTTTTCATTGTACAGATTATAAATTTAATTGAAATATTTCAAGATTTGAACAAAGTTCTATTTTTATGTTAAAAATTTGATAAGTAATTTTTATGTTTAATATCGACTGTATTTATAAATGTGACATCGAAAAACATCAAGAGTCTATTAAATAAGTTACAAAAGTGTATCAAAATAATTTATAAACGATAAGCTGGTCTTGAATTGAGAGTTAAACGTTAATAGAGTTTAATTTAAAAAGTTATTATTACGTCTTTAAAAGTCTTTAAATTTTAAGAAAATGCTTATGTATTTATGCAAAAGAATAAGTATTACAGGAACATGAATACTTATATAAAATGAGTAAATTTAATTATAGAATTAATAATTTGTTTCTAAAAATTTTTAAATAAATAAATAATAATAAAATAATAAACAAATAAACAATATTAATAATAATAGTAAACCTTATAAAATTAAATATATAATTATATAATTAATATATTAAATTAATATAATTAAATTTTAAATAAAGCGCCTAAAATGAAGTTATTTGCGCAAGCGTCGATTGAATTTACAAATAAAATTCCCGCCGTTTACTATATACGCCGCCCGCTGTAATTTTCTAACCTCACAAAAAAAAGTGACACATGCGGAAAGTGCGTAGTATATAGTCCGGTTATTGTTTGAATAATATAATTAATATTTTAATGAATAGTACATAAAGAGAAGACTGCAAAATGTCGAGAGTCAAACGACTTAGTATTCGTGGTATTCGGAATTTTAGCGATGACAAAGAATCAGAACCTATTGTGTTTACACGACCGATGACCCTCATCCTGGGACCAAATGGAACAGGCAAAACAACTATTATCGAATGTCTCAAGTATGCGACAACCGGTGATTTTCCTCCAGGTACAGATAATGGAAGATGTTTTATTTTCGATCCAAAATTGACAAACAATCCTACTGTAAGTATTTTGTATTTTCACTTAATAATTCCCAATTAATTTCAAGTCTATATAGAAAATTATTTAACACCAGGTACGAGGAGTTATAAAAGCTGAAGTTATTAATAAAAAAGGCGATTCACTGGTTGTATCAAAAACGGTCGAATGTACGCAATTAGCGAAATCTATTAAATTAAAATCCTTAGATTCAACCATAACTAGAACTGATGCCGTCACAAAGAAGGTAAATTTACTGCTTACTATATAAATTTCAATAAAAGGCAATTGATGAATTTTAATAAAAATTTCAGAGATCCCAAATAAGCGGTCGATGTGCTGATATAACAGCCGAAATTACACGTGCTCTAGGAGTGTCAAAACCTATAATTAATTATGTCATATTTTGTCATCAAGAGGAATTTAATTGGCCATTTGACGATGGAAAGAAATTAAAAGAAAAATTCGATGAGATATTTGGAACTACAAAGTTCAATAAAGCTTTGGATAATTTGCGAAGTATTATTAAAATTCACACTGCGGATAATAAAATTTTGACAGTCGAGAAGGATAAGTATCGTATTTTAGTCAATCAAGTCAAAGATGTGGAAAACAAGATCGAAGAAATTAATAATCGAAAGCAAAGATCTTTTATCAGAATTGAAGAAATAACAAACGAGCTACTACCATTACAGGAGAAAATTCAAGAAAATGAAAATAAAGAAATTGAGTACAAGAAAATTATTGTAAACGAAGGTGATTAAATTAGTCTCTTTTTTCTAGAGTATTTCAATTCTATACATATATTCCGATATTATTAAAATTGTACTAAAAACTAATTTTAACAAAAAAAAAAATTACTCAAATTATTTTTCCAGATAAAAAGAAAATGGAATTCAATTTAGCCAAAAAGGAAGTCGATAATTTAAAATCGACTATTCATAAAATTTTCGAAGGCACAACTGATGAATTGAAACACGATCTTGAAATGGATGAGAATTTTCTCTCCAAGAAACAGGAAGAAATTAAAGAGGTTGAAATTATTTTCTTTCATAAACAAAAATATCTTTCAGAAGAGATTTAAAATTTATTTTTATTTACAGTTTGAAAATCAAGTGCATTCAGAATCGAAGAAAGAGCAAAAATTATCAAGTGAAATTGCAGAACAAAGAATTCAAATTGGAACACTACAGCAAAAAATGGAGGATCACAATGATAGAATTACTGTTAGGAATTCAATGTTGGAAAAGGCTTTAGCTACGTTTGATACGGAGATTAAATTAAAGAACAGCACAGAAGATGGTAAAATTTTTTTTTCATAAGATCATAAAATTCTACATTTAATTTATAATCATTCTATTTCATGTTATTTCATTTTTAATTAATAATATTGTACCCTAGAAATTGAAGAATGGATGAAAACGTTAACTGAGAAATTCGAGAAACTAGAAAGTGACATCGAAGAAACTCGTCGAAAAAAGGAACTCGAGGAACAAATTCTCCAAAAAGAAGTCGACACTGTAAGAGCCGAAAAATCAAGAATCGAATCAGTGACAAATGTTCGTGACAAAGAACTCTTGGAAATTCGAAGGGAAATTAAAACCGTGCAATCAGAAATTGCTGAGGTAGAATTCATTTTTTTTTAATTGATTTAAAGTGTTTTAAATTTAAAGCTTTGAAAATGATTTAAAAAAATATTTTTTTAGGTCGGCATAGCAGGAACAAAATTAAATGAAATAGAAATGAAACTTAGAGAAGTGAATAACCGATGCGAGGCACTTGGTAAAAAAATGGATGTGAATGCAGTCAAAGAAAAGATAAACGAGAAAAAGAAAAATCAAAGAACATTAGACGATGAAATACACAAATTGGATGAGGAAATAACATTGATGCATCAATATAGTACACTACAGGCCGAATTGGATTTACAGAAATCATCTCTTGAATCGAAGCAAACAAATATTCAGTCTATTAAAAATAAACAGGAATCGAATATTAAAACTTTGTTGAAAGTAGACGAGGTACCAATGAGAAAACTCAAAAATGATTTGGATGAGGTTTATCAAACTTTGGTATGTTTCATATTATACAATTTTCAATTATTTAAAATATTTTCAAAAAAATTCTTTAAAAGAAATTATTTATGTTTAAAATTTTTGATAACACTTTTTTTTATAAAAATTAAATTATTTTCATAAATAATAGAATTCAATTATTTTGAATACAATTATTATACAATTCTTCAAGAAATTCAATTATTTCCAGTAATTTCAATAAAACTAAACTTTTTTAGTCGTTCAATTTAATTTTTCGATTGCTACTATTTTACCACTTTTTTAGTCTTAAAACTACTTTTTAAAATTAATTTTTGAGTGCGAAGTTTGCAAGTTATTATTTTTTCCACTATAAGATTAGAAGTGACATTTATAGTAAAGTTGATCTGTAATTATAATATAAATTTATAATTTATATATTTATAACATAATTTTTTCCAATTGCAGACAAAAGAGAAGGACAGTTACAATCGTAAATTAGAGAGAGAAAAAGTGAGTGTAACAAGTTTACAGGCTTCACTGAAACACGTTGAAAATGATTTAAGGAAAAAAGAAGAAGAATTAAAGAGTACGTTGATATTAATTTTAAAATATAGAATAATTTTACAAAATATTTCTAAAAAATTCAAATCAAATTAATTATTTTTCTTTCCAGATGACAAAGCCATGGTATCTATTCATTGTGATTATGAAAATTATGATGATATTGTAGCAGAACAATCAAAAAGAGTAAACAGTTTACAAGATGACAAAGGAATGTACGCCTATAAAAAAGCAGCTTTCAAAAAATATTTGGAAAAAGTTGATTCAACTGATCCATGTTGTCCACTTTGTAGTCGAGGTTTTAAAAGTTCTCAGGAAGCAAAAAATTTATCATCTCAAATGAAAGACGAAATGGACACTGTGCCACAAGTTTTAAAAAATTGTGAAGATAAATTAAAAGTTGAACAAAAAAAATATGATTCACTTTTACGATTGAAACCAATTGTTGATAAAATTTTGAAATTCGAGGAAACTGATTCAAAACAATGGAAGTATGTAATTTAATATTTAACTAATTAAAATTCGTTTAATTTATTTACACTCAATATAGTTTAATTTTAATTATTTTTATTATTCTTTACTTTTAAATTACATTTGGAAGAGTTGAATTTTGAATTGAAATTATAATATTTTTCTTCACAGGGAAACTATTGAACAGAAAACAAAAAGTTTACGAGAATCAAAGGAAAGAATTAATGCAATTCGTTCGGCTTTGGAAGAACCAGAACATTTGTTAGACGTATGGAAAAATCTAAGCAGCGATATTGTCTTGTGGGATCAATCGTTTAATGAGATTGAGAAAATAAATCGTCAAATTGAATCAGTAAAACGTCGTATTCCAAGTGCTGGTAAATTAACTAATTTTTTAAATTGTTACAAAATGTTATAATATTTTTGACTCTAATTCTGTTTTTAGGAATGAATTTCGATAGAACCATGGACGAGGCGCAAAGGGAGAAAGCTTCATTAAGAAACTCATTGAAAGATCTTCGAAATGAAGTAGAGAAAATGCAAACGGAATTAGATTCTCACAATGAAAAAGTAGAAAAAACAAAGAGCTTGAGACTTTCATTGCAAGAGGAAAAATTAAGATTGTCCGCAAATATGCAAAAATTGCAACAATTTCATGACAAAGAAACTGAACTTTCCGCCAAGAAAGATAAATTACTGAAAGTAATTCAAGAATTCAAGCAGGAACTTGTTACGGCTGAAGATCATCTTGAAACTGCAATTGAGAATTTGGAAAAAAAGAAGGTACATACTTCCTATTGCGTAAACAATGGAAAATATTTATATTAATCTCTATTATTTATAATTTCCATTTAAACAACTTAAAATATAATCTTTACCTACTTTTTTAACAATTAATTTCTTTTTAAAATTTTAGAACCAGAATTCCGAAAGTGCCAGAAGTAATAAATTAAAAGTGGATATGGTGTCGAAACGTATTTTCGAATTGACGAAAACTCAAAATGAAATTGAGAATTTCATTGAAAGTAAAATTGAAGTAAAATTACAGCGCGTTGAGGAGAGAGTCAAATCGTATGATTCAATGATAAGCACTTTAAAGGAAAGTAAAAGTAAATTGGAGAAAAAAATTGCAAGTCTTCGTGAGGATATGGTTCAACAGGAATTAAGTAAACGAACATTGTTGGATAATTTGAAACTTCGAAAGAAAGAAGGCGAATTGGAGAGTTTGAATTTACAATGGGAGCACTTGAAAGCATCATTGAAAAATTTCAAAATTGATGATTTAAGAAGAGTTCGAAGAACTTTTAAGGAGGAAGAAGACAAATTAATTAGGGAGGTAATTGTCTAATGCCTTCGAATCTAAAAATAATTAAAATTATTAATCTTTCTAATTATATAGTTTTGAATTAGTATAATTATAGAAATAGTAATTTACATATTTTTTAATTTTTACTATTTATATGCCTATTCAGTTTTGACTATTTATATATTTTTGAATTTTCACTGTTTATATTTAAAGAATTCAATTCTTATTTCAGAAAAATAATATCGAGGGAATGCAAACGGAATTATCGAGAAATATTCGAGAACTGAAGAGTCAGCTTGGGAAGAGAGAACTTAAAGATGCGATGACAAACTTTAAAGCAAAGGCCGTGGAATTAGTGGTAAGTTTCTTTTTTTTATCTTTAATATGCATTGTTTTCCTCGACATTGTAATTTCATTCATTTTATGTATGTGTAGACTTCCGGAGAAATAATTGAGACTTTAAAAGCATACAGTAAAATTCTTGATGCATCAATGATTGATTATCATGAAGAGCGAATGAAAACGGTGAATAAAATAATGGATCGATTATGGCGTAAAGTTTACACTGGACATGATACTTCGACTATTCAAATTCATACAAGTGCAACTGAGGGAGTGGACTCTAACAGAAGAAGTTACAATTACAAATTGCTTCAAAAGAAAAATGGCGTATTAATGGATATGAAAGGTCGTTGCAGTGCAGGTCAAAGGGTAAATATTTTTAATTTAATATAAATATTAATTTTTTACTAAACTTATTAATTATTAAACAAAAAATTTCTAATTAAAAACTCGAAAATTTTTATTTTTATTCTATATTATTCTTCGTTATTAACAAAATTAATTTTTTTTATATCATTTAGGTTTTGACTTCGATAATAATTCGAATGGCATTGGCGGAAACATTCTGCGGAGATTGCGGTGTAATGGCTTTAGATGAGCCTACGACTAATTTAGACGCAGAAAATTCCAAAAGTTTGGCTGAAGCTCTCTGCGAGTATGTAAAATCTACTTTTTTTCTTTTTTACACAATTTTTTTTATAAAAATTTTTTATTTATTTCTTATTTTACAGAATTGTGGCACAACGTTCAGAAGTTCAGAAAAACTTTCAGTTAATCGTTATCAGTCACGATGAACCTTTCATAAATCTTTTATTAAGAGCCAATTCTCACAAAGCGTATTATGAACTTAAACGAGCTCCTGAGTAAGTTTTATTTGTCTTATAATATTTTTTTTTACTTCGATTTATTTTTATTACTCAACTCATTTTAAAATGAAACTCATTTTTATTTTTATATTTTATTTTTATAATTTTTATTGAAACGAAATAATTTTTTTTGAAATGAATGTCATTTTTCTGATTGTATTTTGTTTTCCTTGAAAATAGCGGAAGGTCTATGATTCAATTACGTGATAAGAACGGACACACGTTGGCAAAACCAATGGCAACATTGGATGAATCCTCTGAAGATGATGATATCGATGTGGATACAGTTCGAGTGTAAGAGTTTACTATATATTCCGTTTTCGTTTCTACATTATTTAAAATTAAGTGTTTCTTTAAAAACTCGCGTTCATTACGCTTAAAAGACATATTTCCTAATTTTATTGAAGTTATAATTTCAAAGAATAATTGTCCGTACTGAAAAAGTTTGTTTTTTTAATACTTTAATTTTGTAATATTCAGACTGAAGTTATACAATAAACATATATTTTCTATATTAAATCAATTATCCAAAATTCCAATTATTAAAATTGAAAAAGTTTTAAAAAATGTATAATTATTCAAAAAGATTTTTAAAATATGAGAATTTGATTTTTTATTAAAATATAATTAAAAATTTAATTAAAAATATTTATTATAAATTTTTCTTTAATTTTAAAAGAATATTTACAGGATATAAAGTAATAGAGAAGAATGAAAAAACTCTTTTTATTAATTTCATAAAATTTTTTTGGTCTAATTATTTTTAGAATTTATAATTTATACAATATTCTGTAATAACAAAAAAAAGTTTTTAAACAATTATCGAAATTTTACAACGGAATACAAAATGAACGCATGCGTGATTTTATAGATGTAAAAGTCAAGTGCTCAGGCGCATTGGTTTCCTTTAAATTAGAACGTCCAACAAATTAAATTAATATTTAACACATCATTCATTAGTTCTTGAAAATAATATACATTATCTAAATGCGTAATATATTGTAAAAGAAAAACAATTATACAAGAAAATTTTTAATTGATATTTCATAAGAGAAGAAACAGAAGTTTCCAAAGGGCGGCGTTTATTATCGATCGTAATTGTGGGGTTTAGCCAGGAATTGAGAGCATGTGTAATTTAACACTCAGATGTTTGTAACACAAAACATGCTCTATCGAATTTTCTATGTCATCATTAATATTTTAACATTATTTCAATTTTTATCTGGTGAAACAATTATTACAAAAAATGAAAAATTACCGGACGTCGAATTGGAGACGTGCGTCGATAGTTTCGTTATTCACAGGGATAAAATTATTAGAACCTTGGACTCACAAGAAATGGGAGCAAAATATTTAACAGAAATTGATGTAAACTCGGAAAATGAGTGTATCAAATTTTGTTGTGTAACTGATCAGTGTGATGTATTCATTTTCGAGGAAAAAGTGAGTTTTTAATTACAGTTTCTAAATTTATACTTATTTTTTGAATAAATACCTTTCTTTATTGAATCAGAATTTTTAAACTTTTAGTGTTAATTATTTTTTACTATTTTTAATTTTTACTTTTTAATAATATTTTTTAATATTTCAAATGAACTTAAAATCTAAACTTCTGTGTTTTTAGAATACATTTTGATTTTTAATTTCTGATAACAATTTTTTCAATTTGATTTTCAATCTTCAATTCGTAATTTCCATTTAATATTTTAATAATTATCTGCTTTTAGAAACCGGGGAGCTGTTATCTTTTCCATTGTGGTCCTCCTCAAGATTTTAAATGCAAATTTACAGATCATGCTAATTATAGCAGCGCAGTACTTACAAATTATAAACCGCAGTCAGCTGTACAGTTAGAAGAGCAGATTCATAAAACTCCTGAACATGAACTTAAATCGCTCAGGTAATAAGTTAATAATTTATTTTCAAAATTAATAAAATTCTTTAAAGAAATTCAATTATTTTTAAAAACTTTAACGAATATCTCGTCAAGAATTCAATTATCTTTACAGATAGTAAAATTTTTCGCCAAAAATTCAATTATTTTCAAAAGTTTTTCACAATTCAATAATTTTCAATATTTACTATTTTCATAAAATTTATTAAAAGATTTAATTATAGAAAAAGTTTTTTAATAAAATTCTACGAAAACATTCAATTATTTTCATCGCAGAATTTCAATTATTTTTAATACAATTTAAAATAAATTCCTCGAAAAATGCATTATTCTTAAAAATTATATTAAAACTAGACGAAAGAATTAAATTTTTAGAAACTTTCAATTATTCAATAAAATAATAAATTTCGTTGCAACAATTGAAATATTTTCATAAATAACTTTTAATTCGTCGCTCACAGAAAATTAATTATTTTCAAAATTTTTTAAGTAATTCTGCAAAAGAATTCAATTATCGTGATAAAAAACAAAATTCTTCCCATAAAATCAATTATTTTCAGAAATTTTAATAAAATTCTTCGCATGAATTCAATTATTTTCATAAATTATTATTTAAATTCTTTTCAGGAATTCAATTATTTTTAGAAATTTTAATAAAATTCTTCACAAAAATTTTCAAAAATTGTTATAAAATTCTTTAATATAATGAATTTCAGTAAAATTTTAATTAAATCTTTTAAAAGAAATTAAATATTTTCAAAAGTTGTTAATAAAATTCTTAGTAAAAATTAAATTTCAAGAGACATTCGATTATTGAGTAAATTATTAATTTTTTTATTTAAATCATTGAATTCTCGTAGAATTTTTTAATAAAATTTTTTTTAAAAATTAATTTTGGTCAGAATATACCTTAGAGTCAGGGAAAAAGTTAAAATTCTGTCTGAAAATCAGGGAAAAAGAAAGTTAACTTCTTGTGGAAAATCTGTTATTCTTTTTATTATATTTTATGTACTAATTATTTATTTATATTTATTGTAAAAAATCAGGAAGCAGAATAATCCAGGCCTTAAGGAATATTCCTACAACGAACCTCCGGCGATTGCAGCTACGCAGATAACGAAAACGTCCACCTTAACGAGTCCAGTACCTGTTAAAATTGGTATAAATTGAAAAGACTTGTTTTTAATTTTAATTTACATACAGTTCAATTTATTACATTGACAATTAATATTTAATTTAAGTTCCTGACAATTTCTCTTAATTTTCTGAACAAATATTTTCGAAACATAGAATTTATCAAATTTTTACTAATTAATGAATAATTTTTTAATTTAATAATTTATCCAACTTTTTTATTAATATTTTAAAACAATTGAATTTATTTTTTTCATAATTATATATATTTACAGTAAATTATAAATTTACTTTTTATTAGTTTTAAAACTATTAAATTTAATTATTCTTCTTTTGTCTCTTTTTAATAAAATGAGATTTTTATATTGTAAATTATAAAAATTGAAAAATTTTTAATCCATTTCTATTTTTTTCGCAGAATGCAGTCGAAATCAGTTTGAATGTCGAACGACAGGCGATTGTATTGCAATTTACAATGTTTGCGATGGAATTCCCCAATGTCCGGATGGTTCTGACGAAGGAGCGGAACTTCATTGTCCAACGGAAAAGCCATCGCCAACATCGCCGCCTGTGATTGCTGCACAAAAACCGATACTCCCCTCGTTACCCGATGTTTTAAGATATCAACAAATGCTTCAACATCACAAATCCTATGCACCCATGTACGGCCACGTGCAAGAAAGTAATTCCAAATCTTCGTGGCAACCTTCTGGATCAAGTAATCAAGGAATACTTCCACAACAAAATCTTCCTTATTTAGTGGATCAAGAAAATCCTCCACAATCGCATGCCAATTTTGAATCGAAAAATTATCCTTGGAATTATCAACCATACTATGATCAAAATAAGGATAATTATGGAGGATATAATTATCGTCAGCAGAACAATCTTCCTGTTTATGAACGTAAGTTGTTGGCTTCTATTTAAAGAAAATAATGTTATTTTGTTAAAAAGTTGATTGTTAATTAAATTTAAATATTTTACAGAACAATCGCATATATTCAATCATAAAAGACCGGGAGTTATAGAAGAAAGTCCACAAGATGGGTAGGTGTGATTAATTATTAATTTGTCGAAAATATTAATTTATTTTTTTTAATTAATTTTAATTTCTTATTTATTATAATTAAAATTTTATTAATCAAAATTAGGGGAGTTTATGCGGATCAGAATAGACCATTTATGCCGTATTATCAACAATCTAATCACGAGTCCTGGCAGGAAAAACAGTCTCCACCTCAACCTTCGGTTCCACAGCCTGAACAACACATTGAAGCCGAAGTTTTGCAAGAAAAACCAAAATTAACTACAACACCTCAACCTTGTAAAGTAAGAACAATTATTTTTATTAAACGTTATAATTTTTAATAACGACATACGTTAATAATTATTTTCTATTTTAAATAGAAAGTAAAGTAAAGAAGAAACGATTATTTTACTAAACATTTATGTTATTAAACCCTGTAACGAGGTGAATCGTTACTTATTTCTCCAAATCTGTCGTGTGTAGGAAAAGTAAATTTCATTATAGTAAGTTGTTCGTCGTTCTCTCTCTTATCATAGTTTTGTCTTGTTTTCTTGTCAAGTCCCTTGTGTGTGTCCTTGGTTCAGCGACCCGAGACCTGTGTCATTCGTGAAATCTGAATTTAAATGATTTCGCGCATGATTAATTGCCAGAGACCGTCACATGACCAATGACCCTTTCCAAGACCATTTTAGGTGCTGTACAGTGGGGATAAGAAAGAAGGGTTTTTCCCAATTTTCCATAGGAAAAAGGAAGAAGCAAAATATGATGAGGAAGCCAACCGGTGATGAGGAGATCGGATTTACACTTGCTTGTCACTTACTTGCAGAGGTTCAAGTAGTCGCGACGTGATTTTTGACTAGCGTCAATTATCGAATTACGTTATTGAATATTTTATTTTATATTTTTGTTGTTTGATTTAGAGTTTATTTGGTTTAATTAATAAATGGGTTTTATTTTTGTTAATTGAGAGTTTTAAGTGTTTTATTTCTATTTTTGTTTGTGCTGTAAACGGTTGAGAGTGCCAAAGTCGTTATAATTTGGTAGCGTCTCAACGGTCATCTGTTTAAAAAGGAATGGTCCATTGTCAAAGTTGTTTTTTACATCGCAGCTTGGAGAAGAGGAACTCCCCGATGAGATTTGTGAAGATTTTGTTGTGGTGAAGTTAGTTTCGGAGTAACGGGTCGAGATGTAAATTTGTGACGTTTTATTTTCCTTTGGTAAAATTCTATGTTGCAAATTCCACCCTTACAACCCTTTTTAGCGTTTATATTCTAAAAATATATTTTTTAATTATTTTTAAATAAGTATATACGATAATAATTTTTGTTTTCAATTAAAACACTGTTTTAATCTTGTAAAGTAAGGATAATTATTCTCTTAAACGTTTATATTCTTTAAATATACTTTTTAATTCACAATGAAATTTTAAACAGATAATAATAATTATTTTCAAATAAATTTTAATTTTATTTATTATTTATTTATTATTTATTAATATTTTTCAGATTTCCGAAAAGGATACAAATGTTACAAAAAGTGATGACAAACATGCAATAAAGAGTAATGCGAAAAATACAAAAGTTGTAGATAAAAATCAAAATAATGAAGATTTATTGAAGACAAAACCAATTGTCAAGGCTGAGACGAATATTAAAATTATTGAAATTAATAAGAACGAAGGTATTTCTAAATTATTTTTTTGTTTTTCAAATTAAATTTAAAAATAAATTTTAAACTAAACTATTACTTTGTTTCTAGATTCTAAAGTAGATCATAAGGTGTCAGAAGAACAATTAAAGGAAACAAAAAAAGAAAGTTTGGTCGCTCAACATTTTCGTCATAATAACAGTGTTAATGAAAATTTAAGACCAAAAGGTGCAGTAATATCCCTCGTTCTGGGATTATCAGTTTCTGCAGTTATGGCTGTTTTGATAGCTTGCAGATTACGAGTTGTTAGAAGAAGAGGTCGTCGTGGTCATGAACCATTCGCCCATGATGCAGATTATTTAGTTAATGGAATGTATCTTTAATTAAATAAAAAAATTTATAAATATTTTCATACATTAAAAAGTAACTGTTTCATATTTTAAAGGGAAAACTATTTTTAACTGTCAAACTTGTTAAAAAAAAGAACAGTGCGAATCAAAAGTTAAATATAAGGAAATTTTTTCCTATCATTACGTTAGCTCAATCATCTGCTTCGTATATCAATTTTTAAATGTATTATTTTCCATCATTTGATTTAAAACAATTTTTTCAAAGATCCATTTGTATATTAAAATATATTAAAGTTTTATTGAATTGTTAAAACAATTCAAATTCTCGTTGCACTTTAAGGCTAAAAAGTTAATAATATTTAGCCTATTCATAAATGTACAAAACTTTGTTAAATTTTAATAAAGAATTTTCAAAAATAAAAGTTTCTTGTATTTAATTAAAGAAATTAAATATTTTTAATATGCTATTAAATTTAAATTTCAAATATATTTATAAATATTTTAGTTATAGCTCTTTAAAGAATTATTGACAATAACTTTATTTTACTAACTTTAATCATTGAAAAACAATAAATTCTATTTATTTATTTAAGTAATAAACGGGATTGTGGTTACTTTTTATTAATTGTAAATTAAATTAATTTTGATGAATGTCAAATATATTATCAACGAATATCTTAATATTATTATAGGAGATTATTATCTAAAGTTTTATCTGAAATTCATATTTAAATGAATTTTATTAGAAAATTCTATGTGAATTCTATTGTTTTAATACATAAATGAATAATTTAATGTTTCTTAAAATTTAATTCTCACAAATTAAATTCCTTGAAACAATTTAATTATTTTCAAAAAATAAAATTTTTCAAAAAATTTCACTTTCTTAATTATTAATGCAATTCTTCGGAGGAATTCAATTCTGTTCAATAATTTTAATTACATTATTTGCTAGAATTCAATTTTTTAAATATATAAATATTTAAGATTTCGTTAAGACTCAAATACCTACATATATTCACTAATGTTAATAAAATTCTTTCGAAGAATTCAATTTTTTAAAAATTTTAATAAAATTCCTTAAAACTATTCAATTATTTTCAAAAATAAAATTCTTCTCAAAAATTCAAATAATTTCATAAATAATACAAATTTTTTCCAAGAATTCAATTACAGTCAATAATTTTAATAAAATTATTCGCTGAAATTCAATTCTTTAAATAAATAATAAAATTCTTCTTTAAAATTCAACTACATTTAACAATTTGAAAAAAAATTATTAGCACAGAATCAATTATTTTCAAGAATAGCTATAATTCTTGAAAGAACTTGATTTTATTATCTAAATTTTTAACTAAAATTTATTTTTAAATCAATTTTTATTAGAAAATTCTACTATAATTAAATTATTTAAATAGAAAATTTATTTATTTAGGAATTGAATATTACTTAAAATTTAATCCTTTAAAAGAATTTTATTAAGAAATTATTAAATAATTGATTTCTTTTAGCGAATTTCAATACCATTTTTAAGAATAGTTACGTTTTTCGAGGAATTCAATTAAAATTGTATTAAAAATAATTTGAATTCTGCAATAAGTTTTATTATTTATGAAAATAATAATTATATGATAGTTTTTCAAGAATTAATTTATTTAAAAAATTATTAGAATTCGTGAAAATTTCCTAATGTATGAGGCAAACAAACAGGACACCATAATTCAGAATTTAAATTTAATTAAATAAATTTAAATAAAATATGAGTTTAATGTAGATTTTATTATAAATAATTGGACTAATTTAGTAATAACCAAACAATTTATTAAATTTTTCAAACAATTCGTAAGGGCCTTTTTAAGTCCCTTTTTTAAATACAATTTATTTAAAACTTTCTCGCCGACATGCGTAAATTTTGTAAATTGTAAATACTTATTTCAATGTTAACATGTTATTAAAAAAAGAACCATTCAAAGGCAAGAAAATTTTTTCTAAAATTTAAACATTTTAAATAAATTTTCATTAAACATAAATGATAAATATATATTTTTTAGCGTTTATATATATATATTTCTTTGTTTTAAATTTCAACTCATTTTTTATACGATTTGTAAATTTAAGTATAAGGAGCGTCATTGCAATAATACTTGTTTAAAATTTACAATATAACTAAGTATCAATTTTTCTTAGTTTTTAATAAGTGTTTCTTTTGCATTATTATTATTATATTTTTATTAATTGGAAAAATCATACTAAACCACTCGTCTAATAGTGCGGACTAGAATGACGCTTTCTTTTCATCATTTTCATCACACAAATCACAATATCATTTTTAAAAGACAATTTTAGTGTCTTTTATATTAAACACATGCATACCTTAAATACTAATATGGCAAACTATAATTTTCAATGTTGAAATAAATATCCCTAGAGATCAACTTTTCGGGATCATAATCGTTTGGTGTTTTTGTTTATGTTTTATGTATATTATTTTGTTCTTTTTTTTCCCCTCTCCATTTTTGTTAACTAGTGAATTCGATAGGCATTGAAACCTGAGAATTGCCAACGCCTTTCCATATTTGCACCAATTCCTGATAATTCTTGTTTAAATACTTGTGGAAATCTTTGCATTAATAATTCCACTTCGTTCGGTCGTAAGCCGGGTTCCATTTTTTGTAAATACGACCAAATGTAATCGACACTAGCACCGAATGGATGGATATGTAAAAATGTTGCTATAAGTCCTGAAATAAAAAAAGTTTATATTAATTAAAGATTTTCATTTTTAAAGAAATTTTGGAGAAATCATTCTAAAGTTAAAAAATTTACCTATTAGTTTAGCATCTTTTTGTGTAATCTGAATCGATCCGATTGTTGATAGATGCTTTGGTGTTTTTGACTCCTCATTTACATCGTCATCTTTATCTAGAGTTATTACCTCATTTTCAGACGGTTCTTCTTTTTTGGTGGCATTCAATTTTAACGTGAGATCCTTTATTTTTTGATCGTCTTGTGCTTGTTGCTTTCTCGATTGCATTAATTGTTCTTGCATTCCCTTTAGAGTTTGTTGTAACATTTTCATTTGTTTTTCCTTCCCGTCCATTTCATTTTTAGTTTCTGATTTCAGTAGATCAACCTGTTAAATGAATTAATTTTATGAGATCAGGCTTGCCACAAAAATTTAACTTTGTTTTTCCCTGACACTAAAGAATATTCTGATTCACTCTAAAAATTATTAGACACTGAGAAAAATGTTCTAATACATTTATTCGCGAGTTTTTTTAATTGTAAAATTCTTCGAAAACAATTGTTTTATTTATCATAAATATTTAATCATTATTATTTTTTCATTAAAATAAAGATTTTCAAAAATTTCAAATTTAAATCTTTTAAAATTTAATTATTTATTTTTAAATCAATTTTTATTAAAAAATTCTACGAGAATTCAATTATTTAAATACAAAAATAAAAAATTTATTCAATAATTGAATGTTTATTAAAATTTAATTTTTACGAAGAATTTTATTAACAACTTTTGAAAATAATTAATTTATTCTAAGGATTTTAATTAAAATTTTACTGAAATTTATTATATTAAAGAATTTTATAAGAATTGTTGAAAATAATTGAAAACTTTTTGAAGAATTTTATTTACATTATTAAAAATACATGAATTCTTGCGAAAAATTTTATTGAATTTAGTTTAAATAATAATTGGAACTTTGACAAGAATTTTATTAAAATTTTTGACAATACGTGAATTCTTGAGAAGATTTTCGCTACCTATTTATAAAGATAATTTAATTCTTGATGAGAATTTTAAAAAACATTTGGATAATAATTTAATTTCTGCAAAGTATTTTATTACTTTTCAAAAGAATTGAATTCTTGTGATGAAATTTTATACTTATGAAAATAATTGAATTTTAGAAAAGAATTTTATTAAAATTCCTTAAAATATTTGATTTTATGGGGAGAATTTTGTTCTTTATCAAAATAATTTAATTCTTTTGCAGAATTACTTAAAATTTTTTGAAAATAATAGATTTCCTGCGACGAATTAAAAGTTATGTGTGAAAATAATTGAATAATTGCAACGAAATTTATTATTTTATTGAATAATTGAATGTTTCTAAAAATTTAATTCTTTCGTCAAGTTTTAACAAAAATTTTTAAGAATAATTGCATTTTTCGAAAAATTTATTTAAAATTTTAGTAAAAATATTTAAAATTCTGCCGTGATGTATATTATTATTTATAAAAATAATAGAATTTTGGAAAGAATTTGTTTTAAAATTCCTAAAAATAATTGAATCTTTTTAAAGAATTTTGTTATTTTTGAAAATAATTGCATTAAAACTTTTGAAATAATTAAATAATATTAAAAAATTCATTTTGGTAAGAAATAGAAAAAAATTTTGAAGGTTTTATGTTAGTAGAATTCGTAGTAGTTTCATAGTTTATGAGGCAAACAAGAAAGATATAAAAAATTCAAAATATCTTTATGAATTCCAAATATTTAATTTTTTCCAGTACTTTTAATAAAAATCCCTGACTTTTCTCTGAATTCCCTGATTTCTCTGACCTGTGGCATCCCTGTAGATATTTTAGTTACAATTTTATTTTTTATAATTTTTTATTGTAATTTTTACCTCGTTTTTGTACGCTTCTAGTTGACATCTCAAACTGTCATTTTCTTCTTTTAGTATTTGCACTCTTTCCATGTCCTCATGATTGTCTGTTAAGTTTTTCTGTTTTTTTCGTTGTGGTTCATCCTCGGAATCCGAGACTTCCATTTCTCCTTCGCCTTCCATGAGAGCTTCTTCCAATTGAACTGCTTTTATTTCCTGTCATTTTGAAAAATATTTTAGTACATATTCTCACTTTGTTGACGTTTCTTGATAAATACATGCATCATTTACATTAAATGCTTATTGCGTTAATTGGGAGCAATTTTTTGTTTTTTAATATTTCATAAAACTTATGTTTACTTGAAGCATTGCACGAACACACACCCTTTTCTGTATTTCAGAGACCTATGTCCTTTAGCGACTAATTCCTAACATTCATTTTCTTGTAAATTTTATTGAATGCGAAATAGACATCTTACCTTACCGTCACTCTGAAGTACAGAAAAATTATATTCGATAAAAGGAACGTGAAAGCTGCTAACGCCTTGTAATGTTTATCCATGCCACCTTTTTGAAAATTCAATTTTACGACTTCTAAACTTGTGTTATTTTACCTTTGTAAATTTTTTTATTTTTACTTCTACTTTTACCTCTTCTTCACAGTTTTTTTTTTGTTAAAAAAAAACTCTACTACTTTCTATTACCGAGAAAAGTTGTAATTGTAGCAGAAAGCGTGTGTCTGACTGTCCCGAAAGCTTCTTTTTGCCTAATTTACTTACCTGCATGAGACTGCATTCAAAATTTTTTGTTTAACAAAAACAAACTCTGGGATGAAACGTATGTGGCAAGATATGATAATATTTTTTTATGATGCAACTTGGATGTGGCAATTTGTTCTGTCCTTTTAAATGGTATTGCTTTTCTTTTTGTTTTTAGCACAAAAAACGCTAAAATTTCGAAATCTTAATGCGAAATACATACCGATGATTGTTTCTTCCACATTTCAATGTTCTTCCGTTGTGCCTTGGTGAAGTGATCCCAAACTTTCTTGTGGCTGGCAGCAGTAAAAACTCGTTCGATTTGACTGACTGTCGATGACACGGATGTCGCATGTCGCATACAAAAACACAACAAATCCTCTATTGTACACCCTGCTTTAAATTTTCTACTAAATTTGTTCTAATTTGATGGTATTTTCCCATTTTTATTTTCTACATTTTCTTGTTCAAGAAATATGCAAATTCATCAAAAATTGTACAAACAAAAAGAAAATTGAAAAAAATAAACAGGATGAGATTTTCTTTTAATGGATTGGTTTCGTGTTTTTTTTTTCCTTTTTTTGAAAAGCAATCAATAGGAAATTTTATAAAAATAAATTAAAAACTAGTAATTTATCCGTATAAAAAATGAATATTGAACTATTTAAAAATAGAAAAATTGAAAAAACAATTCAATAAATAATTTCTCTTTTAGTCAACGAAATAGAAAATATTGTTTTTTCGATTTTATTTTATTCACTGATAATAAAAATCAAGTCCACAATGTTTTTAAAAACGAAAAATTAGTAAAGAATTTTTTATTCCAAGCAATTTTGGAAGAACTGAACTTTTTTAGAGGACAGTTACGAATAATAATTAAAATCTAAACCGATTACAATAAATATCGTCTCATTTTTCATTTTTAAAAACTTTGCGGATTAAAGCTTGTATAAAATTTCAAATTCAAGATTCATTTTAAGTTCTAACAGATGAATTACATTATTTTATCAATTTCTTTTTTTTCTGCATGCCTTTGGAGCAATCGTTTCTCAAAGCACAGTCACAGTCATAGTGAAAAAAATTTCTCAGTACCGATTTATTGATTTTTAATTTGCATTCTCTTTCTTTAAGCAGAAATTTAAAGACAATTTAAAAATTATGATTACCAAGTGTCATAAAATTGAAATATTAAGAAATTAAAATTCAATATTGATAAAATAAGTATATTTAATAATGATAATTATTTTCCTTTGGAAATTTCAATCATAATGTAAAATTGTCTTTTATATAATGTAGAACCCAACACCTTTTGTTAATCCTTAACATGCAACTGGAAAAGTATCTGTAAAATTTTCTGAGAAAAAAAAACGGGAACTCCAGGTTGTTGATTGATTGATCGTCGCACCACAAATTGAAGTCAGCATTCTTCACCCACCTTTTTTTTAATATTGTCTCTCCAATTTTCCCTTTGGACCCTTCTTGGTGACATTATTTATCGTAATGCACTTTTGAAAGCACGAAGCGCCAAACCATGTACCTTATTTTATATATAAATATACTGTCTTAGAAAAATTATTTCTTTAAAAAAATTCCTTACTTTCTCGGCAGAACATTTCAAAAATGTTTATTTTTCTTTAGTTTTTTCTTTAGACTGTCTTTCGTTTTGATTAAATAAAATTATTCTTCTTCATTATAAGCAGCGCACGTCACCTTTGCTTTCTTTTTTCTGAACTTTACTCATTCTTCGAGGAAATTTATAATAAACATAAATAATACAAATATAAAAAAGCGTATAGAGCAAATTAGAGAAATGTTTTTAACAAAAAATTTTTACGTAAACATATTTACATGAATTTAAATTAAAAAGATATGAAAGTTAATTTCAGTAAAAAAAAAACAAAAAAAGAATTTTAATTTTCAAAGCATTTACATAAAAGAAATATAGATAATTCTTTTTTGGCCAAAGCTTTTTGTTTCAAGACCCAAATCACATGCAACGTGCGTTTTTTTTTGTAACTATATAAAGAAATGCAACTGAAATTTTTAAAAATCCCCTTAAAAAATATTGACACCTGTCTTTTTTTCTCTTTCTCTCTCTCTCGTAATTTAACTCCGCGCCGGGAATTAAAGAATTGTGAAGAATTGCGTGGTGTAAAACAGAAAATACCAAATTTTCAAGACATTAATGTTCTGAAAAAAATATGCTGTCTGAAAAAAATAAGTCAAGGTTTGATGCGCTGACTTTTGTCCAATGGAAAAGAACTGCTGGACCTTCTCTTGCTTAGTCTTTACACTTACCAGAAAAATTGTTACTTTTTTGTTGATTTTGGATTTTTTTTCCGTTTTGCAAACATGGCAAAAGATATACAAAAGTACTAGAGCTATATATATATATAGTCTATGAGGAGAAAAATATTTTTCTACATACACTGTATTAGAAGTCCTTGCATTCTTCCCTTCATAAGTTCCTTTGCCTTTTGTAATTCCTCTTCATACAGTGCCTTTTCCGAAAGTAATCGGCGAACATGTGAATTTGTCGATTGAATCATTGAATAAAATGTGTTTGCATTTCGTTTTGTACAATCGCCACGTTCTAGCCAGGTGACCACAACCTTGAAAGGAAAATATTTTTAATTAGTGATCAAGAAATTAATTTAATTATTATTTTTGATGAAAATAATTTCAGTTGAATAGTTGGAAATAGAATAAAAGTTGAAATTATGGACCTGTACGGCTTTCATGAATGTATCGTCTTGCTTAATTTTTTCGCAGACATTTGAAGCCTCATGATCGGTGTAATGTACAACTGGAGGTGGACTGGAAGGTGGTCTTTGTCTTTCTTTTTCGACCCGTTCTCGGTGACGTTGTTCCCTTTGCAATTGCCTTTGTCTGCATTCCCATTCGTACTGATCGTCTCTTGCCTAAATAATTAACATTTACATTGGATTTTAGTTTTGAGAATTGAAAATTTTTGTAATAAATAAATAAATTTCAAAATCGAAGTTTGATTTAATATACTGGGACGAATCATTTAAAAAAAATTCTCACCTGAGCAAAGTCCACATGAAGTCTACCTGTATTGGCAGCATCACCATTTGATCCTATTCTGACCCTATAACCAGAAAGATATATCGCTGCATCGACACTGGCTTCCAAAACAAAGCGTATATGACAAAAATTTTTCTTCGACAATCGCAATGTTGTTATTTCTCCGCAACGTTCAAATATTTCTTGTATGATTGTCTCCGATATGTTTTCCGGCAGTCCTAAAAAAAGAGCAAAACTTCTATTAAATACTGTTCATAAATACTTTTTCAGGGTTGCCACAAAAATTCAATTTTGTTTTTCCTGATTTTCAGACTTAAGATTTAATTTGATTTAATTGTAAAATTATTTGAAAACAAAAATAGTTTTATTTAAAATAAATATTTGATAATTATTATTATTTTTTTTCAGAATGTTTAACTAAAATTCTTCTTCAAATCAATTACTTTTAATAATTTTTGAAAAAGTTCTTTGATGATGGAATAATTAATGGTTTATTATTAAAAAATTAAAAAATTGTTCCTCACCACCAACGAAAATTGTGCGACAACCTGGCGGTCTTTCTCTTGTGGTCGGTGGCGGTGCATTAGGATTGGGTGGGAATAATGTGCAACTTTTGCAATGAATAATTTCTTTGGCATTTTGAGTTAAAGGTGAAGGTGGCGGTGGCAATGCGCTGGATATTAATTGAGCCGCAGTATCGGTTATTATTTGTTCTGGTCCAAGCATTTGTGCACTCATAATGGCACCCTCGTGGGACATCATGCTCATGCCCATTGGTCCATAACCGTGAGCGTGTCCCATATGTGGTCCAAGTGCCATTTCGCTCATCATTGGGCCCATTGGACCAATTGGACCCATTCCCATCATTGGATAACCAACACCCATACTCCAAACACTTGTCGATGGTTCAATTTGAGCTCCAATTGTTGTTGCGCTACTTGTTGCTGTGTGTTGTCCTTGAACTTCATTTCCATTTGAATTTACATGTTGTGCACTATTACTTGTGACATTTGCATTATTTCTCTCCTCGTTTGTTCGTCTTTCATCTCTTCTATCGCGCTCGTTTCTTTCGTCCCTTCTTTCGCGATCTCTTTCACGTCGATCATTTCGATCTCCTCGCGATCTGAATAAAAATTTTTCCAATGAATAAGAGTTATTAAATAATTTATTTTATTTTATATAATATTTATATTTTATTTTATTATCATTTTATTTCTTTATTTTACAATATTTTACTATTTATTCTATACATTTTATTTTTAAATGTCCACTTCAGTTTTTGAATAATTTCAAACTTAAAATTGAAAAAATTCTCTTATTTTTTAGAGAATTATTATTATTTACTAATTTCAGAATTTTTTATAAAATCATTCGGAGCAATTCAATTATTTTCAAAAATGTTAATAATATAATTCGAAAATATAATCGAAAAATAAACAAGTGAATTTACATATAAAACAATTGAATAACAATGGTATAATATTTTTTAGCATTTTCAATCTTAAATAACAATGTTTCTTTAATAAGAAAATGCTTCTAAAATTGTAAAAATAAATTTTTTCATTTAGCAATTTTTTTGTGGATTTAAAAAAATATTTTCTACAAAATTACGAATGGATTTTAAAATCTATCAATTTTTAAGAAAAATAAAAATCCAAAAAGTGTCAGAATGTTTTCTGACCATTGATTTCCTCTCAAAAAATTACAATTTTATGGAAGATTTAAATCATTTTCTTGATATAGTTAAAAATGTAGTCAAAGTCTGCCCTTAAATTATTTCAAATTTATAAAAGTTAATACTGAATTAAATTTCCTTTTTAAATTATGCTTTTTAATTAAAACAGTTTTATTTAATTAATTTTTGTTATTATTTAATCATGAAAACATTAAATCAGTATTTCTTTAATTTTTAAACTAAAAACATTCAAAAAGAAGAATTCTCAACAAAATTAGGAAACAAAAAAGTAAACAAAAACAATTTACTTCAAACTTCGAACAGACATCCTGAATACGATTATTAATATAATTTTTTATAGTTTTATGATTTTAATTGCAATCATAACATTTTATAAATACTATTATTTAGAACAGATCAATACTTTACCTTACAGTATCAAATATATAGTATAAATTAAATTTATAAAATTGAATTATTATACGTGTGGCATTGAAATAAAATCAAAAATAACCTTCTATTGTCACGATTATCTCGATTTTCCCTTGCTTCACGTTCCTTGCGATTATCATTTTTTTCGTTTCTTCTCTCATTACTGTCATCGGTGCTTTCGCGAACGATTGGAGGTTGATTTTTATTTGTGCTGAATTCCAGTGGCGAATCATTCATACCTGGCAAAGGTATTGGTGGCAGGGGAGGAAATCCTTGACTAGCTAATTCCATGAAACTCTGTGGACCAGGAATTGGTCCTAGAGGTCCCATTGCACCCATTCCTATTCAAGACATTCATAGATATTTTAATTAAAAAATCCCACATAATATGGATAATATTTTTCTATATTTAAAAGAGTAGGTACTCTAAAAATAACTCAATGGACTTTTGTATTAAAAATACACTTCGTTGATAGGACTTAAAATAGAGTTGTAAATTGAGAAAGGAAATTACATAAAAACTATTCATTTTTTTTTGTTCATAATTAAATAGCTGAAAATGAAGGTGGGATTCTAGAATTTCGAGGTGTAGTTTAGGAAAAAGTGTTGAATTTAAATGAAAATTTAGTTTGATGACAATTTAAAGTGGTATTTACCCATTGGTGGCATAGGTGTTGCAGGCATTCCAGGAAAATTGTAGGCCATCTTTCACTTTTTAGATGCTGTAATATTACTTCAATTTAGTGCATATGCAGGGCGCAATTGCATTTACATTTATGATATGTCAACTACGTCAATATGACAATCAGTTCTATTTGGAGGTTAACTTTGTCGGTAATATAGAGAATGTTATGTTATCATGTAAGTTCAGTACAGAAATCTACATTATCATTATTTCATTTATTAGTAGTAGATAACACAAAAATTCATCAGTTTCCCACTAGGAGGCTCTGTTTCAAATTTCTTTTTAAATTACTTTTAATTTTACCAGATTCACTTGTTACTCGGGGGTTTTTAGGGTCGCTGATTACGAATCTAAAGTCAGTTTTTAAAAATTCAAAATGGTGGATCCAATATGGCGGAAAATATCTTCAAATTTCATCCGTTTCCCTTAAAACGTGTTACTCAGAGGTAAATATATTTAAATAGCCAAAGCATTTTTTTTATAACTGAATCCTATGCGAATGATCCTAAAGTTCTGAACATTTAAATAAATTTATTTATTTCTTCTTTAAATTTAATTTTTATTATAATAACTATCTATAAACTATAAATTAATTATAATGTTTCTAAATGTAAAATCTAAATTCTTAACTTTTGTTGTAATCGGTAATGTAAATATTTTGATTAAAAATGATTAAAAAATTTCCTATATTTAAAGCTAATACTAATTTTGGAACTTAAAACCATACTCTCAAGGCTAAAATTCAATCAAAAATGGTTTTAGTAAAAAATTTAATGAAACTAAAGATTTATTTTTTAGTTTGCAAAAAAAAAAAAAACAATTTATTCAACTAAAATGATTTTTAATAAAAGGATAAAAATGGTTATAAAAGCAAATGTTTTTATTACAATTAATTAAAATTTTTTTTTTAAATATTTAAGTATACAATTATTTTCTACATTAATAATTAATTCGCAGTTTGAAGTTAGTTGTTGATTGCTTTTTTGTTTCCTGACTTTTAAAAAAAATTTTCTTTTTAAATATTTTCAATTTTAAAATAATGTATTGAAAATCATTGAATTCTTGCAAAAAATCTTATCAACAAATTTCAAGAGAGTAATTGAATTCCTTCGAAGAATTGATTTTATTTATGAAAATAATTAAATTTTCCCGGTGAATTATATTAAAAATTTTAAATATCCTAATTAAATTCTTTAGAAGAATTTTTTTTTAAATAATGGAGTTTTTTTTAATAATTTAAATTGAAAACTTTGAAAGCTATTGAATTTTATAAAGAAGAATTTTATTAAAATTGTATTGAAAATAATTGAATTCCTGAGAAGCATTTTATTATTTTTAAAAATAATTAAATTCTTGCCAAGAATTTTAATAAAAAATTTTTAAATATATTTGAATTTTTCGAAGAATTTGATTACAATGTTTAAAAATAATTGAATTTTATTAAAATTGTTTTGAAAAGAATGGAATTTCTGCAAAGAATTTTACTATAGGTATATTTATAAAAATAATTGAAATGATGGAAAAATTTATTAAAATTTTAGGACAAATTGCATTGTTTTGAAGCATTTTATAGAAATATTTGAAAATAATTAAATTCTTTCGTGTAATTTTATTTAAATTGGATTAAAAATAATTTAATTTCTGCAAAGAATTTTAGTATTAATAAAAATAGTTAAATTGTTTCGAAGACTTTTTAAATTAAAATTTTTAAATTTTAGGAAATGATTGAATTTTATGGAAATATTTGAGAATATTAGAATTCAGCCGAGGAATTCAATTAAAATTGTTTTGAAAATAATTGAAATCCTGCAAATAATTTTACTATTTATAAAAATAATTGAATTCTTTCGAAAAATTTTATTAAAATTTTGTTAAAAGTAATTGAATTTTTGCAAAAAATTTTACTATTTATAAAAATAATTGAATTCTTCCAAAGAATGTTATTATTTATAAAAATAATTAAATTCTTGCGGAGAATTATATTAAAATTTTTGAAAATATAAACAATAATAACTAATTTTGTACTTAATTAGTGAATTTTGAAAATTTTGATTATGAAATTATTTTATATATTTGAAAATAAAAAATTTTGTAATTTCCATAACAATAATAAATTGAATAACATGTATCATTTGCTAGTTAATGTAATAAACATAAATGAAATATAGAAACAAAAAAAAAAGAAAGCAATAATATATATTTTTTAAAGATGAATATTTCACAAATATAAAAAAGCAACGGATATGAATGTAAAACAGAAAGAAATGCTGTCTGCCATAATAAAATAAAAAGAAAAAAAAACACGAAGGAAGTCGCGGAGGGCTCATTTTCTTTTCAATAATATTCTTTTCTCAATGTAATATGTTAGACGTAGGTATTGACATTATGTACATCGTCATCATCGTTCTCGTTCAGTTATGCTCCGTGGGTGGCTACCACATTTATTATTTCTCTATTCCTCCTTCACTTATAACTCTCGAGCATAAATTATTAAAACAGTGAACAATTACTCTGTTTGTAAGTCGAATTATTGAAATTCGATACGTTTGCCGTTTGACTCAAACGGTAGCTGAGTATTCAATACCCATCATCATCATTTTTAAATGTGAAACTCCAATCGTTTATTCCTTATGTATATGTAAATTTTTTCTTTTTTCAAAATAAAAAATCATTTGAATAAGAAAAAAGAATGCGGGGAATTACCACTGAAATTTGTTGTATTTTCGGTGAAGAGAAATAACTGTTTCTATGTAAATTATTGTTTTAATATTTCACTTTTAACATTATTAGTATCTAATATTATTATACTAGCAAATTTTATGCGCGGGGAACGTGAAAATTCAATTTATAATTATTATATGCAAATTACAAAATTTTTTATTTTGTTTTATAAATTTTAAATAATTTCTTAATTTTTCTAAACAATTCAATTGTTCTCAAAAGTTTTTAATAAAATTCTTTGTCTTCCGTTTACTAACGATTGTTAGTCAAAAAAATTTTACTGGTCCTAAACTATTACTAGAACAATTCCAATTAATATCCGGGTCATAAAAAATTATTTAATTCCCAATTTATAAAAAGTAACCACAGCCGCCAATCAGCAGAAGATGAAGAATTATTTCTTGAGTGATCTTTATCTTCTGTTTGCTAAGAATTGATAGTCAACAAATTTTTTACTGGTCCTAAACTAATACTAAAACAATTCCAATTAATGTCTAGGTCCTCAAAATTAATTTAATTTAATATTTGTAAAAAGTAACCACAGTTTCTTCAAAATAATTTAATTATTTTAAAGAATTTTAATAAAAGCCTTGCCAAGAATTCAATTATTTTCAAATTTTTTGATTAATACTTTGAAAGAATCTAATGATTTTTAGTACATTAATTTTAAAATTGAAAACATTTCAGAAGGAAAAACATTCCAAAAGTTAGGAAACAAAAATATATATAATTAAATATTTAGTAAATTCTTCCACAGTTATTTAATAAATTAATTTTTTCGAATGTAAAATTCCTTTTGTTGACATTATAAATTGTACTGAATTTTTATTTGATAATACTTATTTTGTTTTTGATGAAAGAATTTATAAACAAATTTACGGTACTCCGATGGGGTCACCGATATCTCCATTTTTTGCGGATATTGTAATGGATGACGTGGAAACTGATTGTTTGAATTTGCTTAAAAACAATTTCAATTGTGTTCCTCTATTTTATTATAGATATGTGGACGACACACTTTTGTGCGTCCATAAAGATCAAGTCGAACTTTTCATTGACACTTTTAATTCGTTTAATATTAATTTAAAATTTACTCATGAACTAGAAATGGATAATAAAATTAATTTCCTAGATATGACATTAATAAAAAATAACAATCAACTCATCACTAATTGGTATCAAAAATCCATTTCTTCTAATAGATTGATAAATTATTTTTCACGTCATCCAATTCAACAAAAGAAAAACATTGTTTACAATTTATATGATAGAGCAATTTTATTGTCTCACAAGTCCTTTCATAATGAAAACATTAAACGAATCTTTAAAATTTTGCAAAACAACGATTACCCCTTAGAATTTATACAAAAAAATATTAAAAAACGAAAACATACATTAATTCATAAAACAATAGATAAAAAACAAACTAACAATGTCGTTAGTATTTATCAACAACTACCTAAAATCTGTATTCCTTTCAATGATATTTATTATCAATTATCTAATATTTTAAAAAAATATAATTTACTTTCTATTCCTATTGTGGAAAAAAGCTTAAGCTCTGTAATAAAATTAGGAAAGGACTTGACAAAAAAGTGGGATCGGAATAATATTGTTTATAAATTTAATTGTAATAGTTGCCCTGCAACATATATTGGTGAATCAAAGCGTACTTTGAAAAAAAGAATTAGCGAGCATAAAAACAAAAACCTCGAATCCGTTGTGAACAAACATCAAACTGAATATAATCATTCTTTTAATTTTGACGATGCAGAAATTTTAGATTATGAAACTTCTTATAAAAAACGATTAATTTCTGAGATGATTTATATTAAATGCAATAATTTTACTATTAACAAGAAGGAAGATATACAGTTTCTTAGTAATTCCTATTTTCCTTTGCTTAATAAATTGAAATAATGGTTATAATTCATAATATTTCGATTGCGGGTCATTGACCCCATCGACTGTATATAACGCGAAAATTGTCACCGGCTCAGTCAGTTTGACTAATCACTCGTTTTAATATGTTTGTGATTTGTAAATTTAAATATTTTATTTTTTTGTTGTATTGCGTTTATTTATGTTTTTAATTTATTGACGTGATGTTTATTTATTGACTTTAACTAGGTAAAAATTGTTTTTTATTTTTTGTTTAAATTTAAATTTTCAAAATTTTGTTGTATTAATTTTTTTTAAAAAAATTTTTCTATTAAAGTGACCTGATGATGGTGGCGAACCTGACCACCGAAACGTCGTCTATTTTATAAAAAAGTAAAAGAGTGTTTTTCTTTTACCTTTTATATACGTCTTCCAAAAATCGAAAAAATTAATTTATTAAAAATATATATATATAATTATATATATTTCAACTGCCCAATTTTTTTACTTTAATCATGAAAAA